CTTGCTGTATTCAAAACCATAAGGCTTCTATATAGAAACCTCAAGTCTCCAGCCTTCAGGGATTCAGGCCAAAGCTCCAAACTCTGGTTTTGCACGGCTGCCAGATCTATAGGTTTCTTATATAAACCCCTTATTAAAAAAGCCATCCCAACAACTTTTCTAAGGGGTAGTATACGATAGCTGCCCACCCCGCAATAGTTCGGATGAAAAGGTCCCCTCAATAGTGCAGCGGCCTGCCGGGGGCCTCCAGAACAGCAAACCAGAATCCCTTGCTGTATTCAAAGCATTTAGGCTTCTATGCAGAAAGATCTAGAGGCTGTGTTGTAGTTAATTAAACCTCTTTTGGAAGCTTCAGTCCTCGACAGCAGGGTCCATCGTGCTCCCAGCTCCCTAGAGCTGCCGTCTCTTAGAGCCACGAAGAACTGCGAAGAGTTCGAGATCTGTTAAGAAAACAGCTGACAGACTTCCCTCAAGGCAGAGATCCTTCGATAGCTCCTGCATCACACATCAGAGAGACCACGATCCCTTCATTTTGCGAACAGGCGATCCTTCCTTCGAAAGAGTCGGTCACTGCAGACATGCATGTATCGAGAGAAGCAGCTCTTGCTTCGAAGAGCCACTGCAGACATGAATGAATCGACAGAGCGCGCTGTGTGCAGCCTGAAGAAACAAGTGAGAGCTAAGAACCCGAAGCTTTAGACCCCGAAGATAAAAGCTGAGACAGCACAGAGGATCATGTAGAGGCCGGTGGCTGGGCAGAGGTGCTCGTCGAGGCAGAAGCCGATGGCTCAGCAGAGGTGCTTGCCGAAGCAGAGGCCGGTGCAGCTGCAGAGCCTCCGGACCGATGTGAGTGTCATGAATCCAGAAAAGAGGTTTAAAGTTTAGGTTTCCTCCCGCCTCCGGTGGAGAAGCTTGCGATGAGAGAAGCCAGAGCTGATCCTCCAGGGCAGACTCAAGCAATCCCAATCGAGGGCTTGCAACTAGAGTCTCCAAAACAAAAGAGAAAAGCTACCAAAGGAGACGAAGCCAACACGAAGCCAGAGAAACAGAAACGGAGAAGATTAAGGGTTTAAGATGTTGGGGATTCGAGTCCAGAGCATCGCCCTTTTCTTCTCGCAAGAGCTCAAGCCGCTTCGGGCGAGGCAGGGAGAGGAACTAACATCTCCCAATCATCAGAGTGATGCTCATCATGATCAGAGTGGTGCTCAGAAGCTTCAGAGTGTGTCTGAGAGCCAGGCAGAGAGTTTCCCAGATCCTCGAGATCCTCCTCTGTCAGAGGCCACCAACCGCGACCGCCCTCCAACAAGAGGAGGTCCCCAACAGAGAGATCTCTGCGTCGGATCACCCATCCCTGAAGAGTCCACCTCTCAGAGCTGAAACAAGAGACCTCCGGAGAGAACCTCATGCCGTCCGGGAGGCACCAAGAGCAATCTTGGAGAGGCAGGCCCAAGAGTTCTCCGATCAGAGAGGCGATGTCTGCATCGTCCTCCAAGAAGAGTCTGCTGATGCAGAGGAGCGAAACATACCTGAGTCCGTCGTGATGCAATCAGGAGATTTAATTATCAGGGACATCAGAGCCAATGTGAAATGCGAACTGAGGCACTGGTTCACAGAGACACTGCGAGAGACGGTCTCCATGTTTCCAAGCAAGAGGCCGAGATGCTCAGAGCAAAAGAGCTCCCGGGCTGAATGTTCTCCACAAAACAGAGTTTAAAAGAGAGAGAGAGAGAGAGAGAGAGAGAGAGAGAGAGAGAGAGCGAGAGCGAGAGAGAGAGACAGAGAGAGAGAGAATGTGTGTTTGTGCGAAAACAACTAGAAACTAAACCCTAATCAAACCGTAAACCCCAAAGCAGAAAAGAGACACCTCTTTTGCAGAGCCAAGCAGAGAGTCGCTCGGACGACAGTTCCAGAGAGAAGCTCTAGCAGAGTGGAGAGGTTTTAAGGTTCTAGAGTCTAGGGTTTAGGCTCGAAGGTAAAGGTAAGGCCTGTAAGGGTTTAGGGTTTAGGGGGGTTTAGGGTTTGGGTTGATTACCTGAGAGTTCAGGTCTAAGGGTTTTAGAGTTTAGGGTTTAGGCTCGAAGTAAAGGTAAGGGTTTCGGGTTTAAGGATTAGTATTTAGGGCTTAGAGTTAAAAAACCAGCTCCATCTGCGAGCTCTCGATCATGTAGAGCCCGGCTCATCGAAGCCTGGGATGGGAGTATGTAAATATAAGTACAAATAAATAAATATATAAATAAATATATATATATATGTGTATATGGCTATCTTTATTATTATTATTATTACCATTATTATTGCTATTATTGTTCTAATTATATATACATAAATATTATCATATATATATATATGTAGTAGAAAATCGTCGAGCAGCATAGAGTGCTGCCGGACGAGAGCCAAGGCTGCCAAAAGAGCTCCTCGCATTTAGAGGGTTTAAGGTTTAGTTAGGGTGTAGAGCCACGGTTTAGGGTTTAGGGTTAATTAGGGTTTTGAGGTTTTAGGTTTAAGACGGGTACAAGCCTTAGCTACATAGGGCTTAATTAATTAGGAAAAACCCGAAACCTATTTAATTACGAACCCCAAACCCTGGAACCCCTTCACCCTAAACCCCGAAACCCTAAAACCAGAGCCAAGCGTCGCCAAAATCGAGGCACAGAGGCTCCACCCCAATGCCTCGCATAGAGTTTGGGATTTAGGGCTTGAGAGTTTTCGGGCATTAATTAAGGCTTTGGGTAAGCTTAGAGTCTGGGGGTTGAATTTAGAGAGATTTAAGGCAGTAAGGGTTTGGCTAAGTTTAGAGTTTGAGGTTTAGTGTTTGAGAGATTCGAGGCATTAATTAAGGGTTTGGGTAAGTTTAGAGTTTGGGCTTTAATTAGGGTTTGGGTGTTTAGGCTTTGATTAATTAATTAGGGTGGTGGGTTTGTTAATTAAATAAAGAGCCAAGTATCAGAGAGATCCACGGAGAGGCCTCTCTAAGCCTCGGATGTGAGGGTTTAGGAGTAATTAATTTTTTTAAAAAAAGAGAGCGAGCCACAAAAGAGAGACTTTCTGCCGAAGAGCTCACTCCTCCGCCACAGCGGCCAGAGCATCCGTCTCAGAGGCCGGCCCAGCCGTCGCAGCCGCCGTAGAGTTCACATTGTCAGAGGGAGGCGGCTGCTCAGAGCCCTCAGAGCCTCCGCGGGCAGGATAGCGATCCGGCGCAGCCATCTGCTTCAGAGCTTTCGCCAAAGTGTCAGAGCGAAGCAGCTCGGCCTGAAGGCTATTTAATGAGAGTCTAATTAATTAAGGTTTAATTCGGGATTTAGGGTTTAGGGTTTAGGGTTTAAGGGGGAGGTTTGCAGGCCAGATACAGAGTGCACCAGAGACGGCCAGGAGAAGCCAGAGAACCGGGCGTGCCTGCCAGAGGCACCCCGATGAGAGTGCGAATGAAATTAATTAACTAGCACAACCCTAAACCCCAAACCCCACAAACACTTCAACCTTGAACCCCAAAGACTAAACCCAACCTAATTAATTAATCACTGCAAACTAGAGGCTCAGAGTGGTACACCAAGTGGGCCAGAGTTTCCTGCTCTCGACAGAAGAGCCAGCGGGCGTGTGCAGAGTTGGCAAAAACCTCCTCCACATCCGCCCGCCGCACCAGCTTGGACCTCAGAGGCTGCACTGCACTAGTTAATTAATTAGTTAAAGAAAATGGACCAGAAGGAAAGACACCAAACATTGCCAAAGCACTCATCCCAGAGCCACCGGATGTTGAGAGAAACTTCGCAGATCATGTCCGGGTCCAGAGCATCATCCTGCACGCAATTAGAGAGCAATTGGGGTTTGGGGCTCTGCTACTTACTTAGTTACTTAGGGTTTCCTTAGAGAGGTTAAGGCATTAATTCACCATTAGAGTCTGTCCGCATCGAAAGAGATCTGGCTGTAGATGAGCTGAACGGAGAGCTGCCAGGTCACAGAGATGCCTGGGACATGCTTTAGAGTTTGGGTTAATTAGATAGGATTAGGGTTGAGGGTTTAGAGTTTAGGGTTTAGGGTGTAATTAATTAGTGTTTTAGGTGAAATAGAGGTTCCTGGATTGAAGCTAGGACACAGAGGGCCACAAAGGTAGTCTCGTCAGAGCCAGGCACAGAGTGGACCAGAGCCAGGACTTGAGAGATCCACCTTCGGGGATTCGTTTCGGGTTTAATTAATTAGAGTGTGCTTCGCTTTCATTAGCACCAAGAGCCCACAGCCTCCAGAGGATGGCCCTCGTGGACACGAGGCTTCTGCGAGCCCAGCCGATGCTGTCTTTGCGCCGATCGTAGAGCTTCAGAGCATCGAAGAGCTTCCTTAATTAGAGGTTGGGAAAATCAAGAGTTTTGCCAGGGTTTAGGGTTTAATTAGGGTAATTAGAGCTGCCTAGAGACTCCTCCGCCGAGGCCAAAGTCACAGCTGCCATGCTTCCCAGAGGTCCTCGGAATAGTGAAAAGTCCAACCCAAGAGATTGAGTATTTTCGCTTTCAGAACTAGAGGCTTCCAAAGAGAACAGTATGCCAACGGAGTTGAGAGTCGAAGGTTGCGAAAAGAGCGGAGCAAGAGGGCTGCTGGAGCGAAGAGGGCTGCAAAAATCTGCTACTATACTACTACTGTACTACTGTACTACTGTACTACTGTACTACTGTACTACTACTGTACTACTGTACTAATGTACTACTGTACTACTGTACTACCCCCGGCCCCCAAACAACTTCGACCCCGGACCCCCCAAACAACTTCAGGTCAGAGATATGCGGACCCCCCGTTAATATTACAGGGACTGGACTTGTTTGGGGGGGGGGGGGGGGGGGTTTAATAATCAGGAGACCACATTACCTGGCCGAGGAAGCCTATGCCTACGACTACGACGTCAAAGACAATGTCATTCCTGAAGTGGAGAACCTCCTCCCCACCATCTCCGAGCACCTTTGCGCACAGGTGGATCGAGGGAGGCAGCTGGTTATCGAAGCCCCACCTGGGCACCCATGCGGACAAGGAAGGAGATCAAGGACCTCCTGGAGCGATACGACAACAGATGGCGTCAACAGCGGGGTGAACCGCACCTATGGAGGATCAACGACGAGTTCGAGGGCGCCGTCCAACACGACCCCGAGGAGAACATGGTCCGACACGAGGCCGCGAAGGTGGAGGATCCTGATGAGGACAAGATCAAACGTGGAGCCGAGGGAATTTCTTTCGAAGATGGTTCGAAGATCGCATCGGAAGTGCGATCTTCACTGCGGCGCCTCCACCAGAACTTGGGGCATCCCTCCAACACTGACCTGGCAAGACATCTCCGTCTGGCCGGCGCTGATCCTACAGTTGTAGAGGCTACGAAGAAATTGCGTTGCCAGGTCTGTTCCAGGCACCGACGTGCCGCCTCAGCAAAGCCGGCGAGTTTGCCTAACATCCTCGACTTCAACCAGCTCGTCGCGGTGGACGCCTTCTACGTCTACGACGTCAATGGAGAGAAGGTCGAACTGATGATAGTGATCGATGTCGGAACTGGCTTTATCGCTGCCGGACATCTTCAGGGACGCTCGACGAGCACCATGGAAGCCTCCTTCTGCTCGGTCTGGAGCAACACGTTCGGTGCTCCGGGAACTATGCTAGTGGACGTCGAGCCTGGCTTGCAAGCCGGACTTGGGAGGTACAGTGAATGGCATGGGACCAAGATCCGACCGATCGCTGGACAGGCCCACTGGCAGAATGGTGCTGTGGAAAGGGCCATCAAGACCTGGAAAGAGATCTGGGTCAATTTCGCAGATACGCATTCCGCGACTTACGAGGAAGCGGACATGGTCGTGACCTCTGTGAACGCAGCCATGAACACCCTACGGAGAGACGCTGGTTTCAGCCCTGCCCAGGCTGTTTGGGGCAGGCATCCTCAACTACCAGACGAAGTTCACAATATTGACCCCAGCACGAACATGTAGAACACATTATCACTCACGACCGCATGTGAGGGCCAGGGAGCTTTCAATTCGCTCGGCGGCGAAAGAGGCCTACTTCAGATGCCACAATTTCTCGAATCCGGAAGCGCTCCAGGTGGCAGGTCCCGAGTTGCAGGTGGGCTCCCCCGTCCTGCTTTACAGGAAAACCAACAGGAACAAGAATTGGGCCTGGCATGGCCCTGGAGTCGTGATAGGAAACTCATGGATATCGTTTGCGGGACGTTGCCACCTAGTTGCACCAGAGCACATGAGAATGGCGACTGGGGAAGAATTGGGAGAAGCCTTTGCCTTGAAGGGGACGCACCGCCTTCTGGAGCAGGACTTCGCTGATGAGGAGATCTACGAACAAGAGGACGCGGAGATGGAAGAGGACCCAGTTCTACCACTACTAGGTGACGACGAGGGCAGTCATGGACAAGAGCGCGGTGAAGGGAGCAGGAGGAAGCAAGACGAGGTAGTCCAGCCACCCGTCGTGAAAAGCGACACCGCACTAAAGGACCGCAAGATGTTCCACAGCAGCGAGGGGCCAACGAGACCTACATGATGAAGTTAGCCAAAACTCCACGGGGACGAGAAAAGGCTTTGGAGAAAGAGATTCCTTGGAATCTCATCCCTCCCGAACAAACACCAGAATTTTCGTCAGGCGGAGTGGAAACAATGGACAGAGCACGTCGAGCGCGACGCGCTCGAACCCACCGTGACGGAAAGTCGGGAGATCTCCAAATCCAAGCCGGGCAGGATACTGGGAAGCCGTTTGGCATATCGTGACAAACTGTGGTCTAGAAGGCGTGCCCAGCCTGACCTTGGCTGGAAGCGTAAGGCTAGGCTCGTGGTTGGCGGACATCGCGACCCTGATCTTACCGCTGGACTGGCGACCCGCGCGCCAACAGTATCGAGGCAGGGAATCCTTCTTTTGCTCCAGATCCTCGCTTCGAATTTGTCCAAGGGGTGGAGAGGTTTTGCCGGTCATGTTACAGCAGCTTCTCTTTGTGGCGAGGATATGTTCCGCGAGCTGTTCTTACTTGAGACAACCCCGGACCGGACTCGGGAATCTCCACCCGGAGCAACTCCTGAGATTCAGGAAGCCCATCTTCGGGCTGGTTGATTCCCTGCCGCCTGGTGGCACAAGTTCCAGAAGGTCGTCAAGAAGCTAAGAGTGACGGCAACGAGTGGGTGGTCGTGCAGAGCACGCTCGACCACTGCATCTTCATGGCCCAATGTATCCGAGGACAAGACGACCAGGGAGAACCTCTACTGGATCCACCTACCGCCTACCTTGGAGTACATGTGGACGACTTCCTACTTGTCGGAGAAGGTGGCCTCTGTGATTTGCTCAAGAAGGAACTGAGCGCACAGTTTCCGATCCAGGACTGGGAGGCCGACAAGTTCGACTATGTGGGCTCATACATTGAGGTCCTCTCCGACTGTGTTAAAGTCACCCAGGCGAGCTACGCGAGCACCAGGCTTTTCGAGGTGGAGACCCCGCAGGACATCCCCGATCACTTCGAGGCGACCGAGGCCCAGAAGCATGACAACCAATCATTGATTGAAGCCCTGTCACGGATGGCGTGTCAAACTCGACCCGATCTACTGGTGGTGGTCAGCATCAGCCAGCAGAGGCAGAAAGCCCCTACTGTCGGGGACCTGAAATTCACCAACCAGCTGGGGCGGAGGGCTTCCGAGCATCGAGAACAAGGCCTGGTCTTCTACCCGGTGAACTTAGCCTCCGCCGTGCTTCTCTGCTACCACGACGCAGGATGGGCCAACGCACGCAATCCCAGGAAGATCCCTACTACCAGTTGACCGCCGAAGAAGATCAACAAGGGCATATTTTGGATGGCCCACGCGAGGAAGGATGCCAAAACGAAGAAAGCGAACTCCACGATCGCATCCCAATTGGGAGGCGTCTACATCCTTGCGGACAAGGACATCCTACGTGGCGTGGCAGCATCCTCGACTGGAAAAGTGGAGCTTGAGAACGAGTCTGCAGATCTGCCGTCGCAGCGCCACGGAGACGGGCGACTTCATTACGAGGTTTCTCGAGACGCTGCTCACAAGCAAGCGTTTGGCCATCGATTTGGCCGGAATCCGTGAAGATCTGAAGTCGATCGGACGCATTGCATGGGTCCCGACGGGGGCTCAATTAGCAGATATCCTTGCTAAACCCCTCAAGCCAGACGGATGGTGGAACACCATCAGAAGCCCACTGGGGCTCACTTTCAAAGAAGGGGGGAAGAGAATATCCTGTATAGAATCTAGTTTGGAACCAGTGTAAAGCTTGAAAAGCTTCGAACTCTCCACGGATCCCGCTTCGACCGGAGGCACAAGAGTTTGCTCGAGCAGCCGAAAAGCCGAGCGATTTTGGCGAGGCCCACCGGGGTGCGGGGCCTTGACTTCTAGTTCTAAATTTAGGGTTTAGTGTGTCGCATGTTTCCTGGGCTGGCGAATTAAAATCGTCTGAGACAAAGACGTACATGAGGTCTTCGTAAGCCCTATGAGGCAGAATAACAAATTGCCTACGTAGTTTAGTACAGGTTGGTATGTGTATGTGTGTATATATATATATACACACAATGAGATGTATTCTACGTGTATATATATATATACCACAGGAGATTATATAGTTTATTCGGGGTTGACATGTTGAAGGTCGGTCGTTAATTTTCCGACCCCGGCTCCTGTCAAGGTGTAAGGTTTGGGTGTACGACTGATTGTCGGAGTGTGGGGCTGTCCGCTTCATAGTCATTCTTTTGCGCCTTAGAAGTTAAGGAGTAATCATAGAATGTAGGGCCGTTATATGTCGTAAAGCCAGAAAGTTGCCTATGTGCCCGCTTGGCGCTCGGCACATACTTTGGCGCATGGCAACTGAGGGTAGCTTGCACTGCACAGTTCCTTCCACAAGCGGCGCGAAGCACACAACTACCTAAATGTGCCCACAGCCCGTGATAAGCACACTTGAAAATCAGTAAGAGCAGTGACAAACGCTGCAAGCACGGTAGTGATTGCAAAGCAGGCTCGTGCCAACGATAGGAGTATTGCTTACACTGATGCTCGTCCAGACCGTCCAGCAGGACAGGAATTCAATCCGCAGACCCAAACAGGTCTCTTGCACAGAACGAACTTTCTCGGCATGCACACACGCCAAGCTCGCCCATGCTTCAAGAAGCCTTCGCTGCAACGGAGCCTCGGAAAATATCTGCTCCATGTCGCATGCCATGAAGCCAGCGGCGAGGCAGGAGATCCATCGACGAACGATGTCTAGACAATGGAACATGCCATCCTCGCTGATTCCGTTCTTGTATCCCAAATGCGCACGTGCAAGATATGGGAGCTTCCGAAGATGGGAGGCCTTGATTTGGCACTCTAAATGGTAGGATCCTTACTATAAACACCCCACAACAGGGTACCCGGTACCCCTAATTTTCGGAAACTCCCATCTGCATGTCAATGTAGGGGCAGCCCGCACGATCGAGGTTCAGAATAGGACAAGACCAACTTGGGTAGTTGTCAAAATTAGGGTGCTTATTTGGGTATAGTACCCGAAATAGGACCCAAAAAGGGACCATGATTTTGATAACCACGCACATACAGGTCAGGTCAAGGAGCCCGATTTAGGGTTCAGGGTTTTACGGTTTAGGAAATCCTAAGTCCAACATCCAACCCGCTGAACTTAAATAAAAGTCCCTGCAACGCTCAACCAAGTCGCCCCCCTGAACCCCTTGAATTGGGATCATGTTACAGTAAGGTGAGAGCATATCATGGGGTCTAAGCCCGTATGCCCCAAGCCTTAATCTCTGTGAGCTGCTCGGCTACAAGGTTTAGGGATTATGGTGAAAGCCAGTCTAGGAGTCTAGGGATTAGGGTTTAGGAATCCTTGTTCAGCATATCTTTATCCACTTGCGCAGAAAGCAGCCTCCTCGTCCCACTTTTGCTCCTCTTTGAACGGCTGATTCTCCTGACGCTAGGGGGCTTCTCTGGGTTCTTGTTAAGAAACTCAATGTAAACTTAAGTTACCATAATAAGGATATATAGTAAATAATGTGGTTTCCTTATTCTGGTATCTCAAATTAAGTCCCTTAACAAGAACCCAGTTTTCTTTGGAGAACAACCCAATATTGCCCTCTGGCGGCTGTCTCACCGAACGACAGGACTGTCTTCCTTACTTTGTGAGCCATCGAAACACTGTAAATTTTAGAGTTTAGGGTTTATGGATCTGTTGTACACCCCCGAACTGAGTTCTGTTCCGTAAAGCCAACACGGTTTCCGGGCTGACTTTTGAACCTTTAAGTTCGTAGCAGTGAAAGTGCTGCCAGCCAAACCCAAGAGGGGCCAGGAGCGGTCCCACAACCTCGAACTGTTAGAGCATTATTGCTTTGATTGCGGGAGGGTCTAAGGGTCTAAACCCAAGCTACAAATATGTTTTATTGGCGGCTTTTGCGTAAGCCGTTCATAAAATACCTATCAGCAAACCTTGATAGGTTCACAAGAAGCCCTGCACTCTAAGCCCAAAAAATGAATTCCGAAGTATGGTTTTATTAAAAGGGTATAGGGAAAAACACCCACCGTGACGTTTGAGGACTGTAAAGTGCTACCACCGTGAAACCGAACTTCTAACGAACTAATAATCGACTCTAGAACTCTAGCCGGAAACCCTATGCCAGTCTTTGATCCCTGCACTCTCAAAACCCTAGCTGTGCTATGAACCCTTTTCCAAATATGCAGCCCTTGTGAACAGAGGGTGGTTGTTTGTTGTTTCTCGGGGGGGGAGGCGGGGGGTGGGGTTGTAGAAAGGTTTCGTGGCTGCAAATACCTCCAAAATTTTCCTACACGCAAGAAACCTTAAGCTTTACAAGCCTACCATATAAAAGTCATCTCAGACCTGACACCCTTCACACCCTCGCTACACCTTTATCCTGAAAAGGCGAACACCGTGTTGCTTGTTCTTATAATCCCTTTCTTCTCGCCACGTATCCCCCATTCGGAGTTCGCGGTGCGGTCATAGTTGATACGTCCAGTGGCAATACTTCTACACGGTACGCCACAGCAAAGGCAAGAGTAGCAAGCCTAATATAGGGAGCCTGAAATAATTAGACTAGGGTTTTGGGACCCATGATACAAAATTATAATAAAGAACCCTCAAAATAGCATTGGTAATTATTCAGGCCCCTACATTTGTCAAATAGCACCCAAACACACGCCCCACAGCCTGTAGGCAGCGCTTTCTCTCAGCAGCCTGGCTACTAGGAGCCACATTCTATGATAGATCACGGTCTTGCGGTGCCTTACAATTATAACATACTGATCCCCTATATTCAAGACGTGCCATGCTGGCTCCTGTGCTAGATCGTCTGTGCCCGCCTTTAGCACCTACCAGCACAACATGGTACAACGTAAATTGTGTAGGGTGGCTTCTAGGGGCTTGGGGCTTGGGGTCTTTCGGGCGCAGGGTTGAGCATGTAAATCGGCAAGAGTAACAGTTCTAGTCCCATGGGATCCATCCAGCTCGAAACCTGCAGGAAAGTTTAGCCGGTTGGGGCGGCGTTGGAATTGCCTAACGGCGTTGGGCTTTAGGGTTAAGGAATCTGGGAAACCGTGTTCAAGGGCGTTCGGGGCTCACGGAATCTAACGTACCTCCTGCAAGGATTTGGGCTCGCAGGGCAGCCGAGTCAGCTTGGAGCAAGGTCGCCTTGGAGAGCTTTCAGAAGGACAACCCTAAGTTCTAAACCCCAAGCCCTAAACCGTCCCCCTCCTTTTGGGAACGAACAACCGAAACCCCCATCCCCAAACCCCAACCGATCATGAAAGGACGAGGGAAGCCTCCAACAGTTATATGTGACGTCGTAAACAGTCTCGTGCACGATTAAGCGGGAGAGGACCGCATGTTCGTAATATAGGGGCCTTGATAATCAGAATAGGGTGTGCGGGCCAATTATATTGTACCTATAATGAGGACCCCAAAAGACTGTGGATAATTATTTCGGTCCCTATATTAAAAATATTTAATCCTTTGATGGCCTCCGAATCAAAAGTGTCCGTCGCCAACTCGAGGGTGTCCATCAAAGGCCTCATTCTTTGGCTGTTCAGTGCCCCACTAGGTAAATGTACACGTTTCTTTGGGGCAGTCGGGTGATAATTAACCGAAACTCAGAAGCAAAACCAGTACTTAAAAAGACAAAGACCAGTGAACAAGCCAGTTTAAGTTTACATAGTCACTTCTGCTCGAAGCCCAGGTTGCAACAACCTCGAAAGTGCAGCACACTCGAAACATCTACACTCTCAGAAAGGTTCTGCAAGGCGCGACAGACACAGCCTCTTAATTCGCAGAGACAACAAAAGCACTCTGCATTCGTATCAGCCAGTGCCAGTATCTGCCAACATCCCTTGTGAGATCCCACAAATGCCTCGCCCAAACCCGGACGTATCAGGACCCTCCATTGTGCTCCGTTTACTGTGCTTGTCAAACTTCTCTTGTTCAGACAGCTGCTACGTATCCTCACGAGGTACAAACCGCAACGTTTTCACCATGGCAGTGCTTTCTTATGGTATTGTAGTAGTCTTGTATCATGTGACCATGGTTCTGGCCTTCTGGCAAAGGCCGCCGGCCCTGCTCCAGAACCCTAAAGCCCCGAACTTAACATACATAGGGATGCAAAGCTCCACAACCCGGAGACTGCACTTTGGCAATTTGGGGGTTCAGGGGTTTGCGATTTAAGCTTGAAATTAGGGCACATCTTTTTTCAAGCATTGCACGGCATTGCATACATACATACATACATACATACATATACATACATACATATCCATCCATCCATCCATCCATCCAGCCAGCCAGCCAGCCAGCCAGCCAGCCATCCATCCACCCTTTCATACAAACATGCAATGCATCCATGCATGCATGTGTGCCCACACGCAGAGACACACACACGCACACGCATGTATATATATATATATATACACACACACATACTCACGCACGCGTATGCTTCAACCGTATGCTATCGTTTTCTCTGTCCTAGCGCATGGCATCCCCCCCAAGCACCCGTCACGCCCGTTGCGGTGGGACCCAGGCTTCCTCCAAGGAGCTTGTGACCTCAGTTCTTCACTTGTAATATACTACTACGCTATGGTAGTATACTGTATTATGCTATATTAGCTGTAGCAAGTTATAGAAAATGTGGTGTAGTATAGTATAGCCTTACCGTCTAGTATGTATATGAGGTTGTCGAATTTGCGATGGACAGGTCTTGATACTGTTCCTGTGGCGGTGGCGATCATGGCGGTGATGGCAATACTGATGGTGATGGAGCTTCTGATGATTGTGAGCATTATGATAGTTGATGACGATGATCATTATGTGATTAAAGTGCTGATGACGACAATGACGATGATGTTGTTGAGGGTAGTGGGTATTGGATCAGTTCTCGTTGGTCTTGGCATTACCAAAAAGGGTAGCATTGTGACTACAACTGAAATGAATAGGCCTCATTAGTCTTGCCGCTGGTGTTGTCGCAGAGAAAATGTTGAAGGTTCTGTGTACAGCAATGTTGCATTGATTGGCACTGTTCTTGCTACTCGCATTTTGCCACTGGTATTTAATGTATCGCACGTGCTTGTAGGGTTTTTGATCTACCAAACCATGCTACCTGCTTTACGGAGAGACTTGAAGGTTCCAGAGCTTTCAACTCCAGGGCTCTCGGGCTTCAGAAACCGATTGAGAACCAGGCTTTCTGGTCGTCTTCCCCAGAAACCAGAGGACGGTCGAACTTCTCTCGAGTTTTCGTTGTGTGAATATGCCGGAATGGAACTCCAACCCCTCCTCAGGATGAGCCTCCTGCAAACTGAGTAAGAGCCTATCACAGCTCTACAGCAGTCAGTCGAAAATCCAAAACCGAAGCTCTGAGTCTCCTCCAGCAACATCTGCTGGGTCCTTCGCGTGCGGGGAAGATCCAGCAATTCGTTGGCCTTGTTCACCAGCACGTCGATCTGAGGCAACACGAACCCCAAACCCTTAACCCGAAAAGTCTCAAACCTGGAGCATGACTCTTTACCATACCACCCCCAAGCCGCGCTTGGTTCGTAAGGGCTTGATCTAAGGTTAAACTTAAACTCTTGAGGATAGACGAGGTCCTGTTCTGCTTGACTTATCGGGGGTGTTTAACGCAGGTGTCGACTCTCTGCGCGGCTGTCTGCGTCATACCCGCCTTCGGCATTTGCTTTGTGGCATTGGAATGTTTTGGGCTTAGCATCGCGCGGGGGTCGGCTGGACCCATAAACCCCAAAGGAATCGCATTTCGGGGTTAGGCCTTAATGGGTTGAGGGGTTTAGGGTCTCGGTGTTAGGGTTTAATGATGGGTCTTGCGATGCCCCGTCAAACCCCATGGAGGCCTATGAAAAGCTAGAAAACTTCACGCAGACCTTCTGAAACCCTGCCTCGCAGATTCCGTGGCACTGCGACACACTCACTAGTCCATGCCCAGGAAAACCAAATGAAACTTACCTAGACGCTACACCTTCAGGACTGGCAGCGTAGTTGCTTCGTGGTGCCTCACAACCCAAAAAAAGCATGAACAAATGCGTGTCGCGGGATCGAAGCTGACGGCCTAATCCGATTCAAATTTGGAGCAAACGATATAGCAGTGTCTCCTATACAAACCCTAAACCCCGAAACCCTAAAACCAAAAACCCCTAAACCATAAAACCCAAAACTCCTAAACCCGAAACCCCTGAACCCTAAAACCCTAAACCCTCAACCCTAAAACCCTAAACCCCTTAAACCGTAAACCCCACCGCCATCATCGGCTCCAGTCCTCCCTCCACCGAGTCTTTCGTAGACAACATACACTGCACCAGCCCGACAAAGCCCACAGACACTAGGCCCCTAAACCATAAGAAGCTAAACCCGAAACCGTAAATTTCCCTGAACCGTAAGCCGCTGTCACAACATCCGGTGAGACTCGAGACCCCAGAACGAGAGCCTCCGGCCGGGATGAGGTGTAGTGCACCAGCAGCTTGACCTCCCGCGGCAGGGCAAGTGCAGGAATATACTGGCCTTAACATTGAAAGCCATGCCATGTTTTTTATTTTTTTGAGGGGGGGGGGTGGCATGTCATAGTGCAACACGTACATACACGTGTGTATATATATATATATATATATGTATATATATATATATACATATATATATATATATATACATGTGGATCTCGACAACAAGAACCGTGCTTTGGGTATGCATGTATATAGAAACGTTTAATGATTCCGGCTAACCAAGCTTCGATATACATATGTGCGTGTGTTTATACACGCACTAATCAAGAACTTAACAAGTATTCATTCATCTACACAGAGATCCCTCAAAAGACATACTCCTAAACAAACCTTCCTCACGAGCTGTGTAGCTTCTACCCTCCTGTTGAACTGCACGCATACACTGAATGAGCTCGAAAGACTTCAGAAAGCTGGAAATCCCGGATTTCGATTTTCGAACCCTGACCTGGTTGCAGGGTTGAGGGATTAAGGTGTTTAAGGATTTATAGGGCCTGAGGTTTTCAGGGTCTATGGCTTAGGACCTCTAGGGCTTGCGGGTTTACGGGCAAAAGGTCTTCCGGGCTCCAGGCTCCCAAATGATCCTAAGTATAAATATTCATTTTTTGGGTGGGGGATACTTACCCAAACCACAATCGTACATCCCACTAATACTTTCTACGACGTAGGTACTTAGGACCCTGGGGGGGCATAAGGAACTAAGAACTTCGAACACGACACTCTCTAAGAGGGGGAGCTGCCAGAGTTTTGGGCTTTGGATTCACAGAAGCTTCCGAAAACACGGGATGACAGGATGGGGTGTAGAGTTCAAGGGCTTAGGGGTTTAGGAGTTCAGGGTTCAGGTGATCCTTCATGTAAGAAACCCGCCAAAGAAGAGGCCTACGAGCTGAAGAAACTCACCCAAGCAAGCTTCAACCAGCCCTTAAACCCTAAACCCTGAACCCCAAACCCTAAATCTTAAACCCTCGGAATGCGCTCGACAGAGTCCTGACAGCTTCTCAAAACAACCCTAGACACCGAAACCCTAAACCGTTTCTGAAAATGAAGAAACCCTTCTGTAACACAGAAAAAAGCGCAAGCCACAAAGCACATGAAACTCCCAAAGAAGCAAAACCCTCCCTCCCTCCGCCCGTCTCAAATCCGAAACCCGCAAACGCCTAACACACCCCCAGACGTATTTAATAAAAGGGAGGAACCTTGCCCCCGCAAGGCCTTCGGCTGCATCTCAAAAGCGACGGCCTCTTCTCAGCGTCTCAAAGGGAAGTAAACTTTTTGAGTGGCAAAGTCCCTTGCGTCTTCATTTCTTCTGGATTTCTAGGGCTCAAGCAATATATAGGGTTTGGGGGTTTGGGGTCTTTAAGCTTTGGTATGACTCAGTTATACGGATGTAGAAACGGCTTCCCTTGCAGTAAAGGATTCTATACAGGGTGTAGGGTAATCAACCTTATTCAGAGCCACAGACCCTTGCCTACTTCTGTTTGTGGGGGGGGGGGGGCACGGTTTATATGCACAGGTTGAGTGCTTAGGTTTTTTGAAAAGTTTAGGGTTGAGGCGGTTTAGTGTTTACTTATATAGCTTCTATATAGCATATCGCATTCAGGAACTACTTGAGCAATTCAACCCACGAAGGTGAATGGTGACTTACTCTACCATTCAGCAAAGGCGTGTTTCTTACCTTTGGTTAGTAGGAATGGAAGAAAGGTAGTAATAGTAATTAGTTATAATTGTACCCCATTCCTCCATTCCCTACTAACCAAAGGTAAGCTTTGTTGTTGCTGCTGAGGGTGTCTAGGGATTTGTAAGGACCGAGACCATCAGTCTAACAGGAGTCTTAAGGAGATTATGAGCTTGGGGGCTTAGCGCTTTCAGGATCGGGGCTGAAAAAGGGAGTTACGGCTTGCAGGGGATGGACGTTAGGCCATTGGCATTGGAGGTCTGACTGTCAAGAACTTTGACTTCAGAAAGCTTCGGGCTTAGGGTTTTAGTTGACGTGACTCTCAAGATCTTCGGATTTCCCCGAGTCAGGCTTTTCTGTAACGGCTAAACAGCCAAAGGAGTCAACTGCTAATGCCTCTCTCAAAGCTTCTGAATCCAGGTTGCACCTAAACCCCAAACCTTAAAACACGTTCACTAAACCTGAAGCCCTGAACCCGAACACATTATAGATGCGCGCAGAATTTGAGGCTTTCCACTGTTTGAAACTTCGGGGACATAGTTACAACACTAACATCTCTACTTCACCCGAACTCCCGAAATGCATGCGTTGGTAGGCGCATGGTTTCAGAATCTCGAGGTCAGTACCCATGCCATGGATATATACCAGATTAGAATTTGAAAACCTGAAACCCATCTGAAAGTAACGGGCCCGGCGAACCCTGAACCCAATTAGCCTTGCCGAGGTTGAAGGGCGCACCCTTGGCGTTGACTTGACTGGCCTTTCCACGAAAAGACGGACGGAGAAGGCCTCGACCAAACCTTACACCCCAATTTAGAGGCTTGAAAGGTTTCAATGCGGTTCAAGATTTCCGGAGAATGATAGCTTAGCATCCTCTAATAATGGTCCTGAGTAGAGATGTACTCCAAAGATACCCCAAACCATATTCGTTGATGAGCGACTGAATTAGGACAAACACCGTAGTGAAAGCCTTGATAAACACCATTCAAAAATCTTTACAACAAACCTATAAAACCCCTGAACGGGCATATCACGGCCTATTCTAACTGATGTAGAACCCCCGTAGTGGTCCTCATCATAACTTATCGGACCCTTTAAATGGAAGGCTAAAAGCACCCTACTTCAACTACCAGTGCTACCCAGTTCGGTGCATTATGCCACTGGTGCTCAAGGGGGCCTTTTCCAGTTTCAGACCTGCCTGATGGATTCTTGAGGGTTTGCGTATGGCTTTAAAGCTTGAGGCTTTAGCCCTTTGGGTTCTCAGGGTTTATGGCCTTGGCGGTTAGGGTTCAGGGCTGCTTGTCGGATTGTTTGGAATCTGACGGGTTTCATAATCTGACGGGTTTGATATAGTGGCTATCGAATGTTGTAAGGCTCGAGGGTTAGCCCAAAACCCTCGTGGTGCCGAAATGTTGGTTCCTTCTGAGCATGGCCGTAATTTTACTTATTGGGGTTTTGTAATAAATATAATATAGTTATAGTAAGTACCCCCCCCCCCCCCCAACCCCCCCCCCCCCACCCCCCAAAATAGAATTGGTAACTATATCAGGCCCCGATATTACACTTTCCCGGAGCCCTGAAGCTCCACTTTCAGCTCCCCTACATGCAGAAACATGCTTCAAGACAGATCCAACACCCTACCCAAACCGTAGGAAATAGAACGTCATGACCCGTAGCCAGACCACTTCTTAAAGCCAAACACAATGAGAGCGACGCCCTGAGCCTGCATTCTGAACCCTAAGCAAATCTCCCTACCCCTCCAACTACTGATCAACGAGCTGCTGGGCGGTGGGAAGTCCATCAGGGTTTGGGTTCGGGTCATCCAATGGGCGTTGCTTGGAGAGCCTGTGCAAACTCACTCCTGACTTAAGCCTCAAACCTGCAAAACCCTGAAGTTCTGTCTGAGCTTGGGGCAGAGAGGGTCAGTTGCTCCTTGGCTGCAGCTGGCTCTTCGGGAGTTTGGGGTTTCCGGGGCGTTCAAGTGCAGTGACAGTGCCTGATCATGAGGGTGTGTTTAGGAGTTGGGTGTTTAACCAAACCGGGCAACCTTCAGCGACAAAACTCCAGCCCTGAATCCTCAGGGCCTTAAACACCGTAAAAGCCCTGAACTAGCAAGCGCTACAGTGCCCTTATAGAACCCACAAGGGAACCCTGAAAAGCGCCCTTGAGGGATCCCTTAAACAGGCCCTCATGGAACCCCAAAAGACCCCAAGACCTGAAGCAGTGTTCCTCCCCATTGGGTGATATAGGGGCCTTAATAACTAGAATAGGGTTCTGGGCCATCTTGGGACCCTTTATACTCTACTTGTAATACAAGGAAGCCCCCAACATAGCATAGGTAAATCTTGGCAGCCCGCTATAGTTTGAAACTCTTCTGCAACGAAGTCGTCCGTGAGTCTTTAGGACTCGCAAAGCTGGCAGAAAGCCGGCTGATAATAGAGATCCTCCTCCTCCTCCTCCATCATCATCATCACCACCATCATGCTAATTGTATTCATCACCACGCTAATTATACTCATCACCATCATCACCAGCTTCATATTCAACAGCATCAACATTGTCGCCATCGTCATAATCGCCTTATCCGATTCATAGTATGGTGCTCCGACTCTAATGTCGTGGCATTCTTTCTGCTAAGGCCCACGTTGCGGAGTCCAAACGTAATGTCGTCCAGGGCCCAGCCATCATAGACACTCCTGCCTCCGACGATGTCTCCGCAGGTCAGAGGAGCATAGTGCAGGCAATCGCTGAGTGTCTGCAACGGATGCAATGTCATAGTTCGCTGCCGCTCGCCGTCGCGCACAACCTGGATCTCGCCCTGTAGAACCTGGGATACTTGGGCACTCGGCCCCTCCGGGGCTTCGAGCTCATCGCAACGATTATCGCACTTCGCAGGGGCCTTCTTCGGTTATTGCCGTTCTTAATACCGTAAATCCTACCACTACTACACCCTAAACCCAGCACCGAATGTACGGTGTGAAGGTGTTTCCGGATGCTCCCTGCCCGGCTAACAGAAAGCCGGCTCTTTGTAGCCTGTGCAAAGATGTTGAAACCGGGACCGAAACGATCGTTGTTGGTTTAGGGGTCAGGGTGTTGGGATCAGGTTTCGGGATGGGGTGTAGGTTTTGGGTCATCGGCTGTTTGAGAGAAAAACACAGCCGAATTCTAATCTTCACGACCTCGTATGAAAGCCGAAGTGTGTCACAGCCGTATATCTGCGCCTGTGACAAGCATTGCATATTGCATACAAACTGAAACTATGCCTGTTCGCTATATGCCCTCTGACCGGAACCCTCAAGAACTGAAAACCATAACCCTGGGAATAGGGGCGGGCCTACATAATTAAAGTTGGATATGTTGGGGTATGTACTACTACAGGACACCCTAAACATACATATCCCCCACAAACTATTCAGGCCCTCGTAGAAAGCTTATAAAACCTGAAAACCTTATAGTGAGATTACCTTCTGAAATCCCTTGGGTGCACAAACCCTTAACCCCAAACTCTAAAGCGTGCGCACGCCCTGCAACCCTCAATCCCAAAACTGTAAAGAGTCTAGATGGGAGTTTCCGAAAATAGGGGAACCTTAACATAGTACCCTAAATAATAGGATCCTTATCCCAACAACAGGTACCCCTACTTTTCGGAAATTCTAACCCCCTTGTAATTAAAGCCCTTTAAGGGAACCCTTATAGCACCCTTGTAACAAGCCTTTGGAGGAACCCTTAGGTACTCCTACTTGTCGGAAACTCTGAGCCCTTATAATAGCCCTTGAAGGGAACCCTTATAGTACCCTTAACACAACCCTTGCAAGGAACCTGTAGGTACCCCGAACTTTCAGAAACTCTTAGATTGAGCTATGGTGCCTTGATCTGCTCTAGCTCCTTGGTGAGCTTCTTGATCCTGCCAACGGTGCGGTTTAGGGTCTAATACAACTAGGGGCCCGGGGCCTTAATGCGTCAAAAAAAGGGGGGTTTGGGGGTGTATTTTATAATATCGTATAGCAATTTTTTAGCTACAATATAGGAACCCTCAGGATCAGACTAATAGTGTTGGTAATCATGATGCCCTCTATCGTACGATAGGAGACTTAGTTGGGTCTCGCAGGAGGTCAGCTTGTCGTTGCTATGCCTTCATTATCCTGAACCTTGCACCCTAAACTCTAAACCGTCATCATTTATGTAATGCTATATACGATTATGCCGTCGATGATGTCTTCGTTCATGCCTCAGTTTTTTCCGGAAGAGCGGAGGGAGTGCAGGGAGTTTCAATTTTCTTAGGGCACGGCCTGGGCCACCGCATTTACGGCTCTGGGACCTGAGCTCTGCTCAGCCGGCTTAGGGTTTAGGGATTTCTTCTGGAATGTAGCCAAGGAGTACTTATATACTCAAATCTTGTGGAAAGGTGTATCGTTTAAGGGTAGGTTGTTTAACGGCTTGAATAGGGCTTAGGGCCACTTGGTGCAACTATCTTGCATGATACAAGTCGAGACAAGCTGCACCCAGTAGAATCATTCACGAAGACCGTCTACGTCCGAAATACTAAACTCTACAGGCCTGAAAAGCTTGAGGAGAACACCGGTTTCTTGCAGATCCCACAGAAAGGAGTCCATATGCTCCAAAAAGTTAAACACTTCGGAAATACGCGAGGCGCATGTACTCAACTTCACCCAGAGGCGTATCTGGCATAGCAGCCTACCCTTTCGCGTTGAGGTGCATAGTCTGGAAACCGGACGCCACCAGACCATAAGCCCCCAATAAAACATTCAGTTCTATACACGAAACAATCCGCAAACACTGCCGTCCTGCAGCCCGCAAGTCGTGCAAACCGGAGACCTAATCCTACACCCCCAAACCACACACAAACTGCACAGTGGCTCTCAATTTAGTCGCAGCCTTTAAGGTAGCCCTGACAATCCCGAGACGCTCCCCCAAAACTCCGAACATAAGAAAAGCCCTGAACACCGAAAATCCTCAGACCCGGAACAACAAAAACGATCTTCTCACTGGTCCTGGATTCGAGGGCATTTTCGCCTGACTTCACAAGGGCTTTATTTAGGGGTGCAGGGATCTGGACATATGAGACTTCAATCTTTGCGACTGTGCTCTAAACCCCAAACTCTCATGAGTTTCATAGGGAAAAGGAACCCTTGGAGGATCCCTTAAAGGAGCCCGAACCCTCTAACCCTTGGGAGCTGTAGATCTTTCGGCTTCAGGGCTTTTGGGGTTCAGGCCGCTTTTGCGACCGTCTTTTGTAAGGCTGAGGCTGAGGCTACAGAGAGCATCACCTTAAGGTTTAGGGTTGAGGGTTTAAGGGTTCAAATAAGGCTTTTTGGATTGCCCTAGAGGTTGCTGTAAGGGTGATGCCGAAAAAGAAATCCACAGCCGCCAGCGTCTTTAACAGCAGCATCATCAAGAACACAATCACAGTTGTACCTGTCGTCGTCAGTGCTGGCACCTGTCGGTATGCATCGAAGCGAGGCTCTACTGGTCACGCGCCGTCCGATACGAACGCGCTCCATAGACCGTCTACGACCGCTGAGATTTCAACCCAACACCCTAAAGCGCCTATGAATTCCAGATGTCCGACCTGACCGTGCGAAGCCCCGGAACTAGCGAACGCATGTACTCTCCTAGCTGAGTCCCAACACCCTCAACCTTATACCGGCCAATAGCCCCAGCTCTCCACGTCTCACGAAACCACCGCAAAGACGGAAGTCGAACCAACCCCACATGGAATGGCCCCAGACACCAACGATTCGAATCCTATCCCAAAGCCCAAACTACCCCAGCTTAAGCTTCGGGCTCAAGTGTTGGGGTCTTAAGCCTCGGAGGCGGTATCGTTTGATGTCGTCTGCCCTTCTTGATGCTACTATGCCCCGAACCGAACGGACAGACAAAAATCCTGTATCATAAACCCTAAACCCCAAACCGTGCACCCTAAACCAAGCCTTTGGAGGGCTTCTTGTCTACGGGCTCCTGCCGCAGCAACAAGGATCCATCTTTTCGGCTTTCACTGTCTAAGCACCGTCTTATGTAGATTGATGGAAATCTTTTGGCTGTGCTCCCGAAATCCCCCCTAGCATTCAGGAAGGCAGAAATTTCCGCAGTGTCCTGGTGGTCTCCTGTTTGTCCTGGTGGTCTCCTGGTGCTGTCTCCTGGTGCTCGCTCCTCATAGTCTCCTCGTCGTTTAGGGATTTAGGGTTTAGGGTGTGGGATTTAGGGTCAATGCGGTCTTGGTGGTGGTGCTGGTCATCTTGATCGTCGTGTCCAGGTCGTCGTGGACGTCATTTTCGTCAAGGTGATATATTTCTGCTTGGGATCTACCCTGATTTGTAAACCCCCACTCAGCGAGTCCGATAATCCGGAAACTCCACTCCACACGAACAGCAGCGGCTGTGGTTCTGTGTCGGTCCTCCGGAATCCTCAGCAATGCATTGAAGGTTTTCGCATGAGAGGCTTCCAACAGGAATTTGGCTTTGACGGCGCTTTGTTTATGGGGCGTACTGACTGAGCAGTTGCGGGATGCAGAACTTGTGTGAGTTCTCCTGCAGGCCCCAGCCAGTAGCACAGGCTTGAACGCTTCGGGTTTGCTTGTGGCATCCACTACGTGCCATTGAAGTGGACATGCCTTATACTGTATACTTAATAAGGGGTGTGACAGTATGTGCGCGTGTATGCAGAGAGATTGTGTTGAATGCATGGGTAGATAGAGTTGCTAGCTAGCTGAGTAAAGACGCCGACAATCAAACACAGTGTCAGAGCAGTAGACAAGCAACAACGAACAACAAGCCAACAACACATGCGATCACATGACCAAACACAGCGGTAACACACACACACACACCAACCAACAAACACATACCATATCTGTATGTTTGCCTGCTCAGATTTTGTATGCATGCCTGTATGCATGTACGTATTTATGTATGCATGTATGTATGCATGCACCTATGTAGATACAGGCCCTTTATACATCCTAGCACAACCGAACCCACACACAAACACACACCATCACACACATGTGCGCACGCGCACAAACGAACAAATGTACATGCATAAATGTACTCATACCATGTACTATTGAAGAAAACAGCGCCTGCAAACCAACACGAACATAGATATCCATCTTGGTGTGTATATATCCATATGTTGATATCAAGTTGTGTGTTCTTGCACATGCATACAAAACTTTGTACATACACGCATACATACACAGTTGGATACATAGACAGATACAAATACAGGCACAAATACACATATACATAGGCATATACGTAGATACACACATATATATATACACACATGTATGTACGTGTGTATGCCTGTAGGTTTGTATAAAGGCCTGTATATATGCATGTATACTAGCTAAGTATGTCTGTACACATGTGTGTAACCATGAGTGCATGTGTGTATACAAACATATATGCAAGCACTTAGTATAAAGATAGAAACAAGTACAGAATCCGCCGAGGCCACAAGCCCAGGCGTCTTGGGGGTTACCTTAAGTACCCTCTCCTCCACTCCTCCGAAAGTTTTGTCACACCCGTTTGTTGCATTCATTGCCACCCCCTGGCCCGGCTGCCATTCATTTTATGTATTTTTTGGCCTTCCTCGCTGAAAACGCACCTGTTGAATCCTGGGAGTCCTGCTCAAAGAAATCTCAATATGGCCGTGACCTGATTTCCTGAGTGATACAGAAGGCTCTGCCGTTTCATCCGGGCCCTGCACCTGAGGAGCCGACGCGGGCGGCGTAACGTTAAGATTACATATATATATATATATATATGTATACACACACAAGCATACATCCATGCTTGCATGCATGCATATACATCATGGACATCTAGCGAAAAATCAAACTAGAGAGCCCAAGCCTGTAAACGGGTATGTACTTCTGTATGTACAAGTAACTTATGTAGATTGGTAGGGGTTAGGTAGCTAGGTATGTAGGTATGTTTGTTCCTGTAACCATGTAACTATGCATGCATGTATGTACTACAGTGGAGCCACGCAGAGAAAACATATACAGGTACATACATGCAGGCATGCGTGAGTGTATATATATATATATATATATATATGTATGTACATGTGTACATGTATGCAGTAGACATACAGTGACACACACATACATACATACATACATGCGTAGATACATACCTATATACATACACAGATACATACATAGATACATAGATGCATACATACATACATACACACATACATACATACAGACATACAAACATGCACACATGCATGCAGACATGCATGCACACATGTACACATACGTACATGCACGAGTGCTTAGCGCTACGTACATACCACATACACACATGCATATTCACCAACTTACTTACTTACTTAACTGCTTACTTACTTACCTGCTGGCTTACTTACATGCTTACTTTCGTACTTACATTCATACATCGGTACATGCATAATTACTAGGTGCATGTAAACGTACATACATGCATGCATACTTACGGTCACATACAGATTTGCATGGCTACAGACACAGACATACCTTCCTACCTACCTTACACCTACCACCTACCTACATACATACTTGTACATACAGAAGTACATACCTACATACCCGCAGGCATATAGACATAGACATACACGTACACTAGACGTACGTACATGCATACATACATACATACACACATGCATTCACGCGTATATGCAAGCATACATCAGGACAGCCTGCAAATGTTGTTTGTAATGGGCAAAGTACATAATCACACGCTTCTCAAGCAACACAAATCCCGAGTTCTTAATTAAACTATCAACAGCGGTCTAGCATCTGATGTTTGGGAACTAGATCCCATAGATCCCCCAACCCTTCCAACCAATACATAGAACTAGATCATCCGAAACCTGTCCGTAAACTGCTCCAGCTTCTGAGCATTCGGCGCTGCTGGCTCCTGCAGATCAAGTTTCACACTCTTGAGGAGGAGTCCTCTTCAGGGGGGGATCGGGTTTCAGGCACTTGAGGTCGTGGGATTTGCATGTGCCAAACATGTTCAGACTAAGGACGTTGCCTTCTGGCTTCGGGGTCCGGTAGCAAAACAAACTGCCCCGAGCCCGATGCAGCTCAACTTGGACTGACCCAGCTCCTGTCAATAGAAGGCTAGGAACTCGAAAACAGAACCGGCATCTGACCGTGGAGGTTAGGGAACAGTGAACGCCCACTGCGAGAAACCCAATAAACACAGAACGGCTAGGGTCTTGTAAAGCCATGTTCAACTGAGAAGCCACAACAAGTTGACTGAAACCGGCTCTGTAAGCCCAGAGATCTATGTTATGGGTTAGCAAATTGTGCGAGTTTCTGGGTTTAGGGTTTAGGGTTATCAATTGTGGCGATAGCTTGGGGTTTGGGGCTTTTAGGGTAGGGTATACGTTATAATTATCAGCTTAGTGTAGGGCTGTGAAAAGAGAACCCAACGACCGTGACCACTGCGTCGACTGGGCATACTACAAAACACAGGGCAGTGTAGGATAGTATATGACCCGAGGCACTATAAACTCGAAACCCTATAGGCCCAAAACCCTATAGACCCCAAACCCTGAAAGCCCTAAACCTCCCTTTTAAGCCCTAAGCCCTATAAAGCCTATGAAAGTATGAGCCCAAGAATTTTAAAACAAAAAAACAAGAACTGTCATCCAACTACCCAAACAAAAACCACGACCTCAGGCATGGACAGCATACGAAAAAGCTAGTAATGACCGTGCATGGAGCTCATGGTCAACCATAGAGCTCCAGCTTGGGCTTAGGGTTTAGGGTTCAATGCGCTGTAGTAACCTTCTATGTACGTGCAAGGAGTTCAAGGGAAGCCCTACACTGCGGCGCGCCTCCACGCTGGTCTTTCTGGACGATGGGACCTGCTTCCGAGGTTTGGACTGGCAACTTCTCTGTAGAGTGTAGGGCAAAGCTGGAATTCGTGTCCTCAGTGTCGAAACCTGCCACATCCGTTCCACTTGACATCAGTCCTGCTTTCTTGTAACGGAATCACGTAACAGGAAATCACAAATTAAATTCTGTTCGTCGTGACTATGGAACACATTTGTTGCAAAAGCTCCCTCCTAACTCAAGCTTTAGGTTGAAACTGTTAGGCTATTTCGAGGTACTGGTCCCTTGGAACAAAGAGGTTCGATTACGACCTCCTGTCCGAGATATGCGGCTTAGGCTTCGTCATGTGATGGTCTGGTTTTACGGATTCAGCCTTTAGGGCTTTGGGGGGTTGCTGCAATAGTTTCCAGGTATTCGCAGCAGACAAGAGAAAACCTAGTGAACGCCGAACCCTTGCCGGATCCGAAAGGTCAGAACTGTGGCTCCACAACAGCAGAATCTCCACGAACTCCCCCAAAAAATACTTGTCCGATGTAGGCAATGCGAGGATGCAGTTGTAGGGTACACACACACACACCAACTCAAAAACAACATGGCCTTCGTCACGGCTTCCATGATCTCTGCAGCGTCTGGGGCTATGGCACCACCTGCGTGTCTCCCCAAGCTGCACAGATTCCCAGGAGGACATAATCTGGGTGCCTCTAATAGAGCAGAATACTCTTGTGCTCCCTTTCAAAAAATTCTGTAAGGATTATAGTATAGGGCTTCTAACATGGTGTGGCCTTCATAAGTAGAACAGAGTTTTGGCTGTACCCTATTGTATATTCTACAAGTACACATAGACAGAAAGGTGATGTTAGCACCAACATATCGCCAGTTGTTCTAACATCTGGGGAATTAGAACCCCTGCGAGTACCAAGCAAAGGTCGTTACAAGACTCATCGTAGAAAGTAGAACACCCAGCCTGAGACCCGATCCTACTTCGAGGTAGGTGTGTAGGAAACCAGCGCAACCCAGCATCTCTGCCCTCTATCATACCCTGAATAGCGACGATTAGGGCCCATTGAGCCCCATGTAGGGAGGATCCTACAAGGCAGCTTCTTTTCATAGGACTGCTGGTCTGGCTATGGCTATGGACTGCAATGAGAGATGACGGCCATAATAAATAGAGTAGGGTTTAGGGGTTAGGGGTTCAGGGTTTAGGGCCTTGGTGGTACATTATCGTAGCTAGTAGACGTAGACCAGCAGGAAGCCAGGTAGAACAGCAGGAAACCATTTGACTCAATCACAACCCAAGCAGAAAATTGATAACATGAGAACATTAAAAAACACACAAATGAAAACAAATGAATTCAAACAAAGCCAAATAAAGCCAAATTAAAACAAATAGCGACGAAGTTTGCCAAATACAAACATAAACAAGATTTTGGGCCCTTTACATATAAGGCCTGTTGATCTAAACCTTGTGGTTCTGGTTCGGCGCAAAAGGTTAAGGATATAAGTTGTAAGGGGAAATAGCATTGCCATCAATCCGTTCCCAGTCCAAGGCTTTTCCCGGGATTGGGTTTCAGGGCTTGGGTTTTGCACAGCTATGCTGATTGGAACTGCTTGCTTGGGTTTCGAACAGCATCATTGCAGGTGAATGCTTCGGAGAGTATATGATGAGGATCCTTACATCCTGACCCTAACCCCTAAACCTAAAGCATAACCGCTACGTATGGCTTTGCAACCCTACCGTTTTCTGAGTTATATATATATATATAGAAACCATACTAAAAACCCAAAAAGGTAAGTTTCTTCGGCTACCGGTGACCCCTACTCAGCCCTACTCTCTCTATCCTCCACCCTGAGGGTAAGGGAATAAACCCCCAAGGCGGCTGCGTCGTGGATTCGCAGGAACCAGAGCTTTCCCCAGCTCCTTGCGCAGGGAAGCGGCGTCAGAGTTCTTAGAGAGGGGCTCGAATTTCGGGCATTGAGGCTTTGGGGTTGCGAGGTGTGGGGTTCAGGGTGTCAGGATGGGGAAAAAGGTTTGGCTAGATTTCTGTGTTAGTATTGCGTTTTTAAGGGCTTGGGTCTTCGGGGTCGGCTCACACTGGAGATTGTTCTCTAAACGTGCCTTTAGCGCCAAACCCTACATAACATTATGGCGACAAGTGTTATGATCATATGTAAATATAGCCAGTACTGAACCCAATCGTATGTTATTGGCTCCATGTCAAAACGACGATTGGTGTTATTTCCTATTACTGTTCATCGTAAACCATGCTTTCCTGTTACGGTCACTCAGAGCCCCGAGCCAAAGAAAACCTTGGCACATAATCTTCAGGACAACAGCAACAGCAACAGCAACCGCAATGGCCACAGCCACAAACCCTAAACCCTAAACCCTAAACCGCCCAGGCCCCAGCCCCGCCCTAGCCCCAGCCTCAGCCCCAGGTCCAGTTTTAACCCCATCCCCACCCCAGCAGCAGCAGCACCCAACGGCAATCAAACGTCTTCGAGCCCAAACATCAGGACTTACGGTCGGGGCTTGACTGCAGTTAAGAAAATTAGTGTGACTCAAGGTCCAAAGCAGTCAGGTGGACAGGTGAGGGTGAAGAACCCGTAAATCCAACCTAGAAACCAGGAGGACGGGTTGCGAGCTAGGATTTCGGGGCACTCGGGTTGCTGCACTTTGGGCCATTTTGGATTTGGATCGGGGTGTGATTTCAGGGCTTCGCTGGATAATGGAGTTGCGCGGGTCTCGGTCGTGGTGACTCAAGTAAAACAGGGCCATGTAACGGAACATTAGTACATAGTCTGTAAGTATTCCCCTGATGCCTTTAGTATTTACGGAATTCCCAAACTCCAGATGAATGAAACTCAAATAGGCAGCACGACGACAGTGGACGAGAATGGCTGCATGTCAGTGTTGACGACAGTGGTAGTTCTATCGGAGGGCAAGCTTTCAACTACCACGAACAGAGAGTGGGGTAGATGCAACGAGAGGACTCCCAATGAGGGACTTAATAACTACCTATAAGCTACGAGAGGACTCCCACCAAAGACAACAAGTGCGCCAGGAAAGCTTCTCAGAAACACTGCTAGGACGACATTCGGCAATGAAGTCGCGAAAGCTCTCATGAAAGTCATAATAACACAAATAGCTGAGATGGATCTGAATATGACGGACACCAGTACCTTCAACCGGAGACCTATGAAGAAGAGCCAGGAACACCGCAAACACATCAAGACAATTGACATCTCAAGATATCTCAATGGGTCCTTACGAAATTCCTGCAACAACCCCGCTATGCAATCTTTGCGCAACCTGTTGACGCCCCTAAACCCTTACAGTGACAAGTATCCCAAATGGCCTTGATCTGCTTCATCAACTCCTCTCGCTCAGACTGCAAAACGACCTGGGCTAGTGCGATGTTGTTCACATATCTTCGACTTTGGGGGGGGGGGGGGGGCATGGCCTGTTTTCCTAGGGCATGAGGATTCGGGATTTGAGCTTGGGCTTCGGGTTTAAGCTTCGGGATTTGGTAATGGTTTGCGTAGTGGGTCGAGCTCGCAACTCGAAGCTTTACAACTTTGGGATTGCGGGTGCTCTGCGTTTAAAATATGTATGTTGGGGCCCGTAGATTGCATGGGCTTTGGGGCTTGAGCACTTGCCGTGTGGCAGGCGTCGGCTCAGCATACAACTCGTTACGTATCCTGGTGTAGCACGTGCCTTTTTGCAGGAAGTGCCCAGCCGGATGTGCTCCCATGCCATTCGCTTGCCGCACCTCCCGCTATACCAAACCCTAAGCCATCTACACCCCATAAGTTCTTAACCCACCGGCTTGGACCTGTTGCAGTCCTGGCTTCGGCATTGTTGGGCTTTCGGATTTGGGGCATGCTCGGGGTGGGGCCCAGTTTGGAACTCACCCAAGCCGAAGAGCGATTTACCGTATTTTTTTGCGGACAAACATGGACAGACGAACCCTCGTCTTGCAAATCTAAATCCAACATCCCCCCAAACAAAGAAAGAAGCACATGATCGGGCTGAGCCAAGCCTAGAGCAAGTATAAAGCCGAAGCCGGTCTAGCCGCCTTGAGGAGCATCTTCATCATCCGGAACCCCCGAACACACCAAACTACGACGTCTTACTCGTCATAATGCCGGCTCAGGGATGACAGAGGTCATGGTGCTTGTTGGTTTATTAGTGTAGGCTATCCTCCAAAAGTGTAAACCGTGGACACGAATGATGCTCACAAGATGTGCTTCATCCGCAAAATCCCCACGTACAACAACTACAACTACAACTACTTCTTGACTGTAACGACTACTCCTGCTGCTGCTGCTGCTGCTGCTGCCACGCTGCTTCCGTTTATTCAGATAAATTTAATTAACCTTGGATGTGTGGGCCCTGACCTTGACCGCCGGATAGTGATTGGGGGTGGGCGTTGTTGATTGGGGACAAACAACGATACAACGATGGCAAGAATGCTTGCTACGGAGCTTCATTTGAGATGTTCACCATTGTCCAGGATATCTCGAAAATAAATGTTCGACACTGCGCTGCGCGTTCCTGTATGACGCGTGGCCTTGTGCGAGCATGAGCATAGTAATCGCATGTAATCACCCGCACTGGGGGCGAGGCGATCCTGTTGGCAAGCACATCCGAGTTGTTTGCTTCTGCCTCCGCCATGTGCAGCTCATACTTCGTTTGCACAGTTCGGCTTCCAGAATAAGACAAAGACATTTCCGGCAAGGAACATGCGTGAACACCATGATGCAGATGATGATGGGGATGCTGATGCTGATGCTGGTGGCGGTGGTGGTGCTGGTCATGGTGGTAATGGTGATGATGATGATGACGGTGATATTGACGAGGATGAGGGTGATAAGGATGATGATGTTCATCATCATCATGGTGAAGAAGCAGATGTTGTTGATGCTGCTGAGGATGATGTCGTTGACGATGGTGATCATGTTGGTGATGACGGTCATGATGATGGTTATGGTGATGATGATCACGACATAGTTGGTGATGATGAAGATGTGCATGATTATGTTGATGTTGTTGCTGGTGATGATTGTGCCGGTGAGCAACGATGATGATTATACCTGGTCTCACAATGATAAATAGTATGGTTCTGGCGATGGCGAATATAATGGTTGCACAGTGTTCCAATCTAGCTTGCTGGCAATAGTGCTGATGATGATGATGATGATGATGATGGAGGTGGCGAATGAAGGTAGTTGCGGTTATCATGACGAAGACGATGTATGTAGCCTCGCAGAACCAAGAAGCGCATCGCTGTATTGTGTCGTGCCTGATCGTATGCGGCGCAATGCATGGATACATTCGTGTCTGAGTCCGCAAAAAGCCCTGGATCTTAACATTCTGACAAGCTAAACCCTGCAAAATCTCAACAGTCCTTCTATATAAGTAACTTGCACTGATGCAAGGTGACTGAGGGTTGTTGGACATTCTTGATTGAGGGTTGTTGGACATTCTTGAAAGGTCACCGAAGGCTGACCGTGTTTTCGGTTCAGGGTTTGCGAACCACTTAGAATTGTTAGCTCATTGACACCATAAACCCCAAAGCTTGCAACATAACAACTGGACGTTGAAAGCTGCGCTCCTATGGCCAAAGATACCCCCCCAATCACTCGCATATTGCTCCCAAGCCTGACCGTGCACACGAGAACAGGTTGACCAAACAGCAGACGAAAGCGGCCGTTGGCTGTTCTCTTCCCTTTACAGCCGGACAGCCCTGTATGAGCATGCTCATTGCCTCAACCCTGAAGGCACTAAACTGTGAAACTGAGCGTCTAAATCGCAGAAAGCTCGCCGAATGAGTGTCTTGTCGTCTCTCAACCATGCACCATAAATAAATAAATGAAAAAGAAATATGTATATATATATATATATATATATATATATGTATGTATGTATGTATGTATGTATGTATGTATCACTTATTACATATACAAATATATACTTTGGACCTGCCTCTTCCTGGTTCAGCACAAGCGCCCGCCTCCCCAGGCACGGCTTTGGGGGCTAGGGTTCTGCAGGCGTCTGGGGTTCAGGATTTGGGGGTTCGGGGTTTAAGGAAACTGAAGTTTAAGTTTTTGTCTCAAGGTCTAGAGCCTAGCGCAAATTCCCTGAGCTTTGCTTTGAGGTTTGGGTTCCAAAATTCAGAGTTCGGGTTTAAGGTGTACGGGGTATGATCTCGAGGTTTACGTATATGGTTTAGGGTTGCGAGGTTTGGGCTCGCAAGACCAAGGCCGGATTCCCCGCATCCGAACGGACCCAAAGACCTTGCAGACTGTAGTCTGCAACCCTTTTGTTTCCCTTTATCCTTCTTTCACTCTTCTTTCTGTCATTCTCTCGCTCTCTCTCTCTCTCTCTCTCGCTCTCTCTCTGTCTCTCTGTCTCTCCGAACTGCTACTACACGCTGCATGCTTGCCCAAAATAACGGGTGATCCGGGAGAAAGAGGGCTTGTGAGGACGAGAACAGAAACGGAGAGGACGACAATGCTCGCTAAACCCTCAGCTCTAAACCCTACACCCTAAACTGGTCAAACTACTAAACACTCAACTCTAAGCCGCCTGCAATAATCCCTCAACCCTCAACTCCAAACCCGCCTGCGCGGAATGAAGAGGGAGCCGCGGCGAAGTTGATTCTTCGTCTTGCTTTCGAAGAGACCCTCCGAAGCTGAGATTTTCGGGGTCTGGGCTCATCCGGCTTAGGATGTAGTGATTTAGAGAGTTTAGGAAGGTTAATTAGGGTTGTGGGTTTAGTAGTTTGGTTTTTGGGTTTAGGGTTTGGGGCGGCCGGAAGCTGAATAAAACTGGAACTAAAGCGTCAACGGATAAGTATAAGGTTTGGAGTGAAGGGCTTAGTGTTTGAGCATGTCGGTATGCGGCATTGGGGTCCTTTCGCGAATAGCCAAAAACAGAGTAAGAATCACGGAAGACCAGAGCGTTCTCTCACTTCTCGGCTCCTTCTTAGAGTCTCTTAACAGGCTAGATGGTCAGCGGATGGATGCCTCTGATGGGTGCTATACGGTCCCGAGCTTAAGGATACCTGCAGTCGCGACGAGAACGCTGCAAACCACTAAATAGACAAAGTCTCGTGAAGAGTAACTTAGACAATGAACATTTTAGGCTGCTCGGGTCAAAGCACCCTTCACCATAACCACACCTTCGACCCTCAATCATGCGCTCCGAACCCTTAACGGGGCAATGATCAACTTTAGATGTAACCCTCAACCCTCAAACCCGGACCCGGGAGCAGCCCCAGTAAGACTCCCCAAAGCCTTGATAAACGATTTTTACAGATCTTAAAGGCTTAGGGACTCGGGGTTTACCAGAGGGTTCAGAGTCACCAATCGTGTACCAAAGCCCTAAATTACTCAACTGACTTTAGGGTTTATACGGCTGTTTAGGGTGTAGGGTTTAGGGCTTGGCTACTACATGCTTTCTGAATGAGGCACCTGAGTCGCGCCCATTACAGTGTAAGCGAACAGTGGCGACTCAGAAGTTAGTCAACCCGCGACAGTGTGCAGCAGCGTGTCTGGGCGAATGGCATCATGGTCCATGCTGTACTGCGGAAAGAGCTTCAGAGCGCAGACATCCATGTCCTTTAGTTTAAACTTGGCATTGTCGTTCTTCAGCAGCTTCCAGAGATTACATGGATCGACTCGGGGATTTCAGAATCATGCGCCCAGATTGGCTGGATGCCCCTCACCTGGGCCCAAAACACCATGAAATCGCGGTGGGACCGGTGGTCTTCTCTTGCCGATTTCCCATGGCTGCAGACCTTCGGCATAAGTTGTTGGTCGCGCAGCGACTCTCCGACAGTTAAATACGAATGCCCCCACCTGTCCCTATCGATCATTACCTCAGCTCTAGAAGCCGACAAAACACAGAACAATCCGATTAACATTGTGGCAACTTCATGTCTGCAAGCTCCCCTCTTCAGGACCCTATGAGTGCGATGAGAAACAACATAATAGGGGCTTTCACATGTGGAGTCGGCTTGTAAGACATATCTTCGACTATGCAAGGAACATGAGGGACTATTACTGCTAAGTGTTGAAACCTTGATGGCGCCATGTTTGTTACTGCAAAGCCCTAAACCCTAAACCGTAGACTTTATGGTTTCCTATAATCTACATGTAATTCAAAATCGCCATCTCGAGTCGGACTATTGGAGCCTCTGCTTTATTTGCCACACGCATTAAGCACCTAAGCCCAAACCCCGAACCCAAATCCGCCTAAACCTGCGAACACAAAACTGTTCCTTTTCTTGAGGTCACTGATGTACATGCCTAATGTAAAGCCCACAAAGTAACTGTTGTAACTATGCAGGCGCACCCCAACAGACCCTGCAAAGCCAGAAAAGCCCCTGCGCTCGTAGAAGGCTCAATCTGTGCTACTCCTAGCGGCCTGGAGCTCGATCAAGCGCTTCACTTGCTCCTTCAATTCCATGATGACCTGCGGGATTGTCGAAGGGTTACAGGAATAAGAGGTCCAGTATAGGGTCTCATTGCTTCTTGTAGGGTTATGGTCCAGTTATGGTGGTTATTAACAGGGTTTCTTATACTTCAAGCCCATGATACCTAAAAGAAAGGACTTCTGGGGTTTAGGTTGAGCTGTTCCCTAGGTTTCATGTAATGTCTCCAAGCTTTATAGGCTTTAGAACTTATGCGAACGGCTTGGGTGTAGGTGCAGGGCTTCTTTTGGTGATTGAAGGAGGGGTTGAGCGGTTGAAGCTATCAACGTGCTGTGTCGTTTCGCGCGAACTTAGGTTTTCTGTTCTGTATGAGTGCATTTTTGTATTTGTATATACACTCATGGAGCTATCTGTGTATATTTATATGTATATATATATATATATACATATCGACATACATATCAGAAACATGTACACATATTTGTATGTGAAATCGGCTTTCTCTTGTTCTCTCTGGCTCCGTGGTCGATGGGAGCAGCGTGTGTTTTCTGCTTCTGGATTTCTTGGGGAAGGCGCTGAACCCTAAACCTCTGAACCCCTAAAGCCCTGAAGCCCTCAACCCTAAACCCGAAACCCTAAAACCCTAAACCCCAAACCCTAAAAAGCCTAAACCCTAAACCCCAAACCCATAAACCCGGAACCCTAAAACCCCAAACCCTAAAAAGCCTAAACCCTAAACCCCAAACCCATAAACCCGAAACCCTGAAACCCTCAACCGGGGCTTCCGGGGTTCCCGGTATGCTTTTGCTTTCGACTTCATATGTAAGGCCGCGGCCGTAGACCCTAAACCAAGGGGTTGTGGGCCGGGTTTTCGGGGTTTAGGGTTTAGACCCTGAACCCTAAACCAAGAGGTTTTGGGCCGGGTTTCAAGGAATGTTAGGGATCCCTTCAGAAGTTCCGGCAGTGGATCAGAGCCCGAGCTGCGAGTTGCGTCGTTTGTAGTGATGGGTTCAGGGCGGGCTTGCAGGGTCTAATGTTGTATGGGCAGTCTAATCCTTAAGGGTACATGTACATAGATAGTCCATACTGTGGCTCCAGAAGTATGTATTGAGGAACTAATTTAAGGCCAATTCAAAGTCTATATTATTTGGGTACATGGACCCTTATGGAATCCAGAAAAAACGATATAGAGTCTCCGTCTCAGGTCCAGTATGATTCGGCTTCCTCTCATGACGACTGGGGGAACAAAAACGGCAGGTTCTTGCAGCTCTAGTTCAGTAGGCCGAGAGTACTCCAGCCTAAGCTCTACAAACGCTGAACCACTGAAACCTAAACCCTGAATTCCTAAATTTGCCCTAAACCTTTCACCCTCAATCCTAAACCCCCAACCATAAACCCCTAAACCCTAAACCCTCAATGCTAAATCCCAAACCGAGCCTTCTCAAGGCTTCTGTCGGTGGTCTTCATCTCACCGGTGAGGTCCTCACGCAACCGTGCCGAAAACCAGCCCAGCTTAGGGTTCAGGGCTGCGGGTCCAAAACCAACCCCAAGAGTTCCAAAATCCTAAGCCAAGACCCAGAGAGGCCAAGACCCCTTAACTAAGGAACATGGCTTAAGTTATAGATGGGGCTTCATATTGTGATTCAAGCTATACATTCTTTAATTAACAGGGGTATTGGGCTCTCTGGGGAGAGCCTACGTATCTAGAATGCCGTGAATTCCGAAGTTCGCACCAACTCTAATCGCCCTCCCTCGGGCCGATTCAGCGCTACCATGGAATAGCCCCGGCCCTTTCTTGCCTGGATCTTGGACTTGTGGTTGAGGAAAATACGCTTCAGATGGCCAAACCTGGCGGGTCCAAGTACCATATACTACTTGGGCTCCAAGATCCTACTAGCCTGCTGGCTTTGTCTTATTAGTAACTAAGCACTCAAAACCTACTATGTTGTAGCAGGTTTGGGTGCGGCAGAGAGAGCTTTAGGTATAAGGTGCCCAGTTTGCCGTTTTCAATTTTCTGGGGTTCAAGATTCAGAGGCCCCTAAACCCTAAACCCTAAACTGGGATTCAAGATTCAGAGGGTTCGCGAGTTGTAGGGTCAAGGCTACGGGTGATTAGACGTAGGGTTTGCAGCAAAAGGCTCTGGGTGCAAGGTTCGACGTGATTATTAAAGTTTGTGGCAATTACCCATAGGCTCCATGTTTGGGAATGCCTGATAGGGTTCTAAATATGAAACCCAAACAGGAACTTCTGTGGAGCCTTTGCGCAAACCGTTGCATCCCTGGTCAGGATCCATGGCTGGGATTGAGGGTGGCCATCATGCAGCAGTCTACCTTAACATACCAGAACCTACCTTTTTTGTGGGTTCTTATTAAAAACCCTAATATGGAGTTTAAAGGGACCCTACTAAAGTAGGTTCTTGTAGGTTAAAGTAAATAGTGGCTGCAGATGGCAACAGAACCCCCGGCCTGGCTTACACGGACCCCCCAATAACCTGCCCTCGTCAGGACTTGCACAAGAAAATCATCCCAAATATAGGACTGACACAAATCCCAACAAACCCCCGTAAGGATGCCATGTAGTCATGAGATGGGGCTCTAAAGCGGTAGGTTTTATAGGATTCAGGTAGGGTTTTTTTCAGGGAGCTTAAGGGGTGTAGGGTTTCGCGGGCTTTGTTGGACAGATCGCAACTAATGAAAAACCTACCCCCAGAGTCTCAGTACCTCAAACCTCCAGCAGAGCTTGCTTACTTGTTGGGTAGCATGGCATAGCAGTTATGCGAAAACTGAAAACTATGGCAACCAAGCAGAACTGTGTGGGAAGTACACGCGTCAGGGCTACATAGGGGCTACTTTAAGTCAGGCCAAAGTATATACGAATCGGGTACATGAACCCTTCGGGCTAGCAGACCCCATGCATTGCGCTGCCTTGCGTCATCGAATGTGTCGATGTCGAACTCTCCTTGCATGGCTCGTGAGCTTTCGTGGGTTTAGGGTTTATCAGTTTGCAGTTTGGGGTTTCGTATTTGATGCAGACATCCTGGCCATCTAGCTCCTGTCTTTCCAGGACCTTAGTTTCAGGGTTGCCAGTAGAAGCACGGCTCATGCCCATAAACCTCATAAGCGAAACCGCAAGTCCCACATCAGTCTGTGCTATGTGGCCATTCAAGAAGGCTCCAAAGCCTCACGACCTCAATAGTACGCTTTTGTTTTTTTTGTTTGTCGCTCCTTTTCTCCAGCAACTACGAAGGTCAATAGTACGGTTTAGGGTTTAGGGTTAACTCAATAGGTGCAGTAAATGCCCACTTCTTGGATCTGAAGTCGTAGGATGCTTGCCATCAGCATACAATCCAAAAAGGGAACACAGAATTATGTACTTAATTCGGCAAGACCTAGCGATGAAACGATTGGATGTCTGAACTTGCTTGCCTTTGGTACTAAAACACTAAAGCATGAAAGGTGGAAGTGTGGGAGAAATAACATCACAACACTGACACTTCACACATCTGAGCCCTGAAACCCATAGCATGTTGACCCGCTGCCAGGCTTGCCAACAAATCTGGACAGGTTATGTTCGCCGAATAAACTGCTACAGTATGTCTCTTGCTCAAAAGGACCTATAAACCCTAAATCCTGACTGCAGCTCGTTAGAAGCCTATGAACCGTAAGCTTGCAGTTTAACGCAAGAGCTCCTAATACAACCTTCTTTTGCAAACTCAACCCCAAGCCAACTGAAGCCCTCACTTCATAGAGGGGCCTCAATACTTAGAGCAGGGCTTTGCGGCCGATTTTCGTTGTAACTACATTGGGACCATCCGGGGATACTAGTTCTAACGGAACGTAACATACAACATTTAGTCCACCCTAAACCCTAAGCCCTAAACGCTCCCTAAACCCTAAACCCCAAGCCTTAAACCCCAAACCCACCCTACAGGCCGAGCCTTTCAAGTCGTCATCGGTGTTGACGGAGGCGTTGCTGAAGCGGGGGCTCTGATCTTCCACCTCGAAGATCAGAGCTTAGGGTTCAAGGTTTAGGGATTTGTTTTTTGGGGCTAGGGTTTAACATTTAGGAAGTTGAGCTGGTGAAGGCGGGGGAGTAGTAGTTGCTGTTGTTGCTGCGGTTGTTGTTGCTGTTGTGGTTGCTGTTGTTGCTGCTGCTGGTGTTGTTGTTGTTGTCGATGCTCTGGCTGTTGTTGTTGTCGTTGTTGCTGTTGTTGCTGCTGCTGTTGTTGTCGTTGCTCTTGCTGTTGCTGTTATCGTTGCTGCCGCTGCTGTTGTTGTTGCTGCTGCTGGTGTTGTTGTTGGCACAGGCAAAAACAGCAGCCCGCAACTTATGATTATGATAATTGCAATCTGTTGGGAATGCTTCCAGCGACCCCATAGGGTGCCTGTCAAGTTTCCGGGGATTTGAACTATAGCTTACGTGACGGCCCCTGTGATAGAAATGGGGCTCAATGTGGGTGGCTGTTGTAAACGAGGTGGCTCAAAACAGCACACGGGGCTCCAGTTTTCGTCGACTGGCAGCAGGTGGAGACAAAGGCCCTGTGGAAATATTGTTTAGAAGGGTGCCAATGGTGTTTAGAAGGATCATCATGCATACTATTAATTTCCATCGAAACACTTCTAAAACCCTGATAAACTCCAAAAGGCCCTTTTAAAAACCGTTGAAGCATTGGTAAACCGATTACAGTGCCTTTTGAAACCCAGTGAAACCACTGTAAAACCCACTGAAACCCTTGTCAGTCCGTCCGCTAAATACCATAAGAACCCTGTGCACTATAGGGGCTGTGTTGTTGTTGTTGCTGCTGTTGCGCGTGGTAGTCGTCGCTGGGAAAGTAGCAGCAGAAGCAACCTTAAGCTGGGACAGCAACTGATGAAGGAACCCCTGATGTAGGGGCCTTAATGATTACCTGTACTATTTTTGGGGGTTCCTTATTATAATTATATTATAGTGTAAGGAGCCCCAAAACCCTATTCTAATTATTAAGGCACCGATACTAAGTCCTTAAAATAGCCCGTATAGTAGCCCCTATAGACACCCTGAAAGGAACCCTATTCTAATTATTAATGAGGCCCCTATATTATCTGCTTCTTTGCAAGACCCGGCCTGCTGAGCGTTGCTGGAAGCGGCCCCGTTGCTGTCATCGGAGGCCTTGCGAAGCCAAGAGCATCAAGGGATCCTAAATCCTAAAGTCTAAACCAGTGTTCAGGGCTTAGGATTTAGGGCCCTAAACCCTCAAGGATATGGGCTTTGGATCCCGCGAGCAGAACAGGCCAACGAGTTTGTTTCGGGGCTTGCGGCTCTCGGGGTTGCTGGCCTGACCTAGGCCATCCAGTCAAGCTAGCCCATGATCTGGCCAGCCGGTCTCATTGGCTAGAAGTTTTAGAAGCTGCATTATACCAACGCTTGGACATCGAACAAGTTCGCACAAAACCCAAAAGATCCGAAACCAAACCCTAGCAACGCCTGAATCTTTACCTCATATTAGACCCTCTAGAAACTGACAAGGCTCAAGAATCTGTTTTAGTACCCTGCAGAAACCTTATATATATATATATATATATAGATATAGATATATATAGATATATAGATATATAGATATATAGATATATATATAGATATATAGATATATAGATATATAGATATATAGATATATAGATATATAGATATATAGATATAGATATATAGATATATAGATATATAGATATATAGATATATAGATATATATATAGATATATAGATATATAGATATATAGATATATAGGTATATAGGTATATAGATATATAGATATATAGGTATATAGATATATAGAACTTGGCAAACTTTAAAACAGCCCTCCAGAACCCGATAAACACCCTATGGAAACCTATGAATAACCACAAACAAAGCGGTTACATACCTTGATGAAAGAAAAACATATCCTGCAAGTGCCCAGACCCAGAAACAAAAAAACAACAATGAGGGAAGGCCTCTGCGGAAGGAGCTCGAGAGGTTACGCGCGAAGCCGACCTGTGAACGTTTTATACAGTAGAAAGCTCTTACTCAATTTAGGGTTTAAGGTTTAGAAAACTCTTAATCATGTACTAAAGCTTCTGCGAAAGTTGTTTTTCTTGTAGCATAGTCTTCTTTAGGGTTAACGGTGCTGTTTGATTCGTGGTTTCGAAGGTTCTTGTAGGGGTTTTGCAATCCTTGTAATTTACATGAACGAGTTTTGAAGGGTCTGTGGGCCTGTAAGGTTTCCAGTGCCGTAACTTTGGGGATAAGGCTTTGTAATGGTGCGGACTTGAAGGTGTGGAGAGTGCAGTCACAACTGCAGAAAAGCCATCAACCAAATTATCTTTCCCGGGTCAAACAACCGGCACAATTAGTTATGACAGCACATGTACAAAATTGGAACAGCAACTTCAACAATACTAAAAATTAAAGTAATGGCAACATATAGTAACAATAACAGTAAGAGCTTTGAAGTTGGAGCCCTTGTAGGTCAGGTGCCACTTCCCAAAACGGCTAGTGCCACGCGCCCGAGCCACAAAGCGACCTAAACAAATGCAGGGAACGAGAAGTCCTGAAACACTAGACTCCAAAGCTGCTAACTTGACCCTACCCCAACCAAGAAGAACCTTTTGATTAGTTCCTGTATTCTAAACATCCACCCCAAGCTAATTGCGCAAAACCTAAAACCCAGGTCCAAACCCACTAAGTCAAAGAAGGGCTGTTAGGGGCGCGGCCGCGATGGCTGAGACGTTCGGGAGGAGCGCCTCGAAGCGCTTCGAGAGAGGCGCCTGAGCTGTAGATTTGTTTACGTAAGATCTACAAGGGTAGATTTCATAAGGGTCTGAGACCTAAGGGTCCTAAGGGTCTGTTTAAGCACTTTAAAGCTATAAAGTACATGCTATTTGGGTATATGGATCCGCAGAGCTTAGCGCTTAATGGTTAAAGCTTACAAATATGGTTTAAGCTAACGCGCACCTTAGCGAGCATGGTGTTTTGGCATAATTTTAATTGGTTTGGGTCCGAAGTTGGGGGGGGGGGCGGGGCTGATGACGTCCACTCGACCACGTCGTCGTAAGCAGCAGCACCACCACCAACACCACCGACAACCGCTGCCATCGTCCTCGTCGGCAGCCTGCACTCTAAAGTACTCGGGCGCATTGTGTAAATTGGCCGTGTGCAGGCTTCTGCTATACGTTGGTTCATGGCCATGGTGTTCATACACAGTCTCTTGCCATCTGCTTGTGGATGTCAGCTGCTTCTTGGCTTCAGAGCTCTACCGCACTTTCTTCCATGTTGCCAGCCGGCAGCTCCCTTTTCTTGTGCTGGCTGTCCTGCCTCCTGGCCTTCGTCTTGCTGGCTCGCAAGCAGGGCGTCGCCTTGCCTGCGAATCTGGGCGACTTTGCTAGATTCTGCTTCGATGATGCTCACGATGCATGGCATGCCTCTTGCGTGACATGTTGGGCTTTGTACTTGCTGCCATTTCTTTCCGCTGCGGTCTCCACTCAGGTTGTGACAGGCCCCTCGGACGATGCTGGGATCCTCGTGCTTCATGCACTCTTTTACGAGACCTCGGTCAAGCGTGCAGGCGCCTTCCCTTTAGACGGCTTTGGTTTCCTCGGCGACGGCTCTGGCATGGGTCTACTCCAGTGTGTACTCGCAGCCACTTCAGAAAGATGCGCAGCTTTTCAAAGATCGCTTGGTTTCTGCCATGAACCAGCGATGGGGTCTGCTCGATCAACTCTGGAGGCATCTGAAGCGCTACGTGCCGCACACCCTGGCCTTGAAAAGGCCAACAAGGTCTGGCCTCAAGCTGAGTCCACGGCTCTTGCAGTACTGTTTTTCTTCTATGTGACGGTTCAATGCGCAGAGGCAGCTAATGGACGGAACTCAGTCGGCTGGCCCACTCCAAGAACAAGAACTACAAGAAGTGAGGAAAAACGGCACAAAAAGGAGTGCCTACAGAAATCCGCTTCGCCAACCTACAAATATACCACGAAAATCAATGTTTTGTTGCTTCGACGAGCCAAAGCCTGGTAAAACTGATGTATTCGAAGCATCCGAAGCAAGCCGTGTAGTCAAGCCTCTGCACAAAACCACACGTTTACCAATATTTAGCCGGGCGCGGCGCGGTGCGCGGTAACAAATTAATAACAATAAAAGAGGGCGCCGCGCCCTTCGGGCGCGGCGCCCTGCGCGGCACCTGCTCAAATAGCTCCGCCACGCATGGCGTCGCGCAAATATAGTATTGCCTGGCCAGCGAAACTGTTGCCGCGCAGGATGCCGCGCATTAAAAGGCTGTTGCGCCGGAGTGGGAAGCGTGGTCTAAACCCGAGCCAAACCACACAGCCACGTCACACCCTAAACGGCCTAAACCCGAAACCCGAAACCGTTGCATGGCCTGTAGTATCGGCTAATATTGCCTGGCCAGCGAAACTGTTGCCGCGCAGGGTGCCGCGCATTAAAAAGCTGTTGCGCCGGAGTGGGAAGCGTGGTCTAAACCCGAGCCAAACCACACAGCCACGTCAAACCCTAAACGGCCTCAACCCGAAACCCGAAACCGTTGCATGGCCTGTAGTATCGGCTAATATTGCCTGGCCAGCGAAACTGTTGCCGCGCAGGGTGCCGCGCATTAAAAAGCTGTTGTGCCGGAGTGGGAAGCGTGGTCTAAACCCGAGCCAAACCACACAGCCACGTCACACCCTAAACGGCCTAAACCCGAAACCCGAAACCGTTGCATGGCCTGTAGTATCGGCTAATATTGCCTGGCCAGCGAAACTGTTGCCGCGCAGGGTGCCGCGCATTAAAAAGCTGTTGCGCCGGAGTGGGAAGCGTGGTCTAAACCCGAGCCAAACCACACAGCCACGTCAAACCCTAAACGGCCTCAACCCGAAACCCGAAACCGTTGCATGGCCTGTAGTATCGGCTAATATTGCCTGGCCAGCGAAACTGTTGCCGCGCAGGGTGCCGCGCATTAAAAAGCTGTTGTGCCGGAGTGGGAAGCGTGGTCTAACCCCGAGCCAAACCACACAGCCACCTCAAACCCTTTTAAACGGCCTAAAAAGGCCCAGACCTCCCAAAACCGCGTCTGCTACTTTCACTTCGGGTCCAGACCTTCCAGAACCACGTCTGCTACTTTCATTTGGGGCCAGACCTCCCAAATCCGCGTCTGCTAGTTTCACTTCGGGTCCAGACCTTCCAGAACCACGTCTGCTACTTTCATTTGGGCCCAGACCTCCCAAAACCGCGTCTGCTACTTTCACTTCGGGTCCAGACCTTCCAGAACCACGTCTGCTACTTTCATTTGGGCCCAGACCTCCCAAAACCGCGTCTGCTACTTTCACTTCGGGTCCAGACCTTCCAGAACCACGTCTGCTACTTTCATTTGGGGCCAGACCTCCCAAAACCGCGTCTGCTACCTTCACTTCGGGTCCAGACCTTCCAGAACCACGTCTGCTACTTGAATTTGGGCCCAGACCTCCCAGAACTGCCTTGGCTCCTCTCATTCTGGGCCCAGACCTTCCAGAACCCCTCTGCTTTTTTCATTTCCGCAGGATTTTGAAACCAGACCTTTTGCCTTCCTCGCTCTTTCGCTCTTTCCCTACCAGTAAAAGCACATGTCTACAATCACTCAACACACACAGCAACATTTTGTCATTCCAGAAAGCTGCAAGCAAAACAGGTGTGGATCGCAAAAGGTTGCAAAACTCTCTTGCCGTTTGGCAAGCGATGCGATGAAAAACCAGCCCCAAACAAGCTAGCTCAGGAAACGTGGCTGCACGTCGTCAGGCACGTCGTCAGAACCACTATCAATGGACTCGACGACATCTGGCCGTTTCTGGTCCTGCAAAAACGGTGCCAAAGTCTGCCAAGAGACTCCGAAGCACCGCACACGCTCATGCAAGTGCTGCTCCAAGTTCTCGGCCCTTTGCAAGCTTGGACCTGCTGTGTTGAATGGCCTTCGACCAACTTCACGTCTGAAGCTGGCAAAAAAGCCATCCAACTTTTGGGTGCCACCTTGCCGCTCCTCCATCACCCAGCCACGGCCGTTCCAAACCTTCACTTTGAAGGTCTTGGCGAACTCCGGATTTGGAGGCTTGTGCTTGACGGCGGTGTGCGCCAACTTCAAGGACTCAAGGATGCAAAGTCGTTGTGGAAGACAGTTGTGTCCAACAGTGGGCTTTCCGTGACACCCAACTGCTTGTAAGTGCGAGCACCGTCCGTATGACAGACCGAACCCTCGCAGATCCGAGATTCACCATTCTCAGCCCACATGGCGCTTTGCAGCTCTTCCAAGGAGATAGGTCCGCCACCACCTTGTCCACCCTCCGTGATTCGGTAAGGCAATGGAGAAATCCAAATCTTCGAACTTCCCCTTCGCGCGATGGCCAAGTAGCGAATCCAAATCACTCGCTCGCCGACAGTTTTGCTGCGAAACGAAATTTCGCCCAGCTCCACGTCAGAACCAAGACCTCCCAAGTGCAAAGTTTCGTTCAACCTCTCAACGACAGGCGTGAGAAACTTGCGAAACTTGTCAAACTTAAGGTCCGTGTTGAGCGGTGATCAAGTCCAAGAATGATACCAGTTTTGTCTGGAGACAAGTGAAGAGGAGCACAAAAAACCCACAGAGCACCAAGAGAACTGCGAAGAGCAATCTTCAGCGAGAACAGATCAATGTCCGCAGCGGTCACACTGATGGTCTTTCTGCATTTGGTGCAACGCCAGTTGCAGTAGTGGCTGCGCTGTTCAAGCTTCCAGGCTTCTTTGCCGCACTGACACTTTGTTCCAAACCGAGTTTTGAGAATTCCGAGGTCGATTGCAATCTCCGTGAGCTCGCAAGGAGACGAAGTCAGAACTCCATCCAAAGAGAACCGTGTAGACAAAGAAGACCTGGAAAGCGTTGCTGTTCGACCTCGCACTTGGTTTGGACTTCTGTCTCTTGTGTACTTTGCTTCAACACGTGCTTCTTGACAGGTACAGGTGCAGGAGTCGACGAAGAAGCTGCGCCCCCTTCATCTTCAGCTCGTGCACCTGGTTGCCGCCTCTTCAAAAGTCGCGGAGCTGACTTCGCTTTCGGGAAATCGCGCACTCTGCGATCTCTTCCTGCAGCTCCCATTGCGATGCGTCCACCACTCCAGCGAGCTGCCATTGCAGCGGCTTTGGCCATGGCGTTTTCCCGCAAGACTAGTTTCGAACACAAAAATCTTACATATAATCGACATTTGTATTATAAATAAAATTTAGTGCACACATCACACATCACACATCACACACACCACACACGCCACACACATCACACACACCACACACACCACGCACACACACACACACACACACACACACCAAACACACCACACACACCACACACACCCCAAACACACCACCACACACATCCCACACACACACACACACACCCCAAACACACCACCACACACATCCCACACACACACACACACACACCCACCCACGCACACGCACACGCACACGCACACACACACACACACACACACACGCGCGCGCACGCACACACACCCACACACACACACGCACGCACACACACCCACACACACACACGCACACACACCCCACACACACCACACCACACACACACACAAACACACCTCACACACACCACACCACACACACAGCACAGACTCACACACACACACACACACACACACACACACACACACACACACACACACACACACACACACACACACACACACACACACACACACACACACACACACACACACACACACACACACACCACACACACACACACACACACCACACACACACACACACACCACACACACACCACACACACACACCACCACACACACACACCACACACACACACACACACACACACACACACACACACACACACACACACACACACACACACACACACACACACACACACACACACACACACACACACACACACACACACACACACACACACACACACACACACACACACACACACACACACACACACACACACACACACACACACACACACACACACACACACACACACACACACACACACACACACACACACACACACACACACACCACACACCACACACCACCACCACATACACCACCACACACACACACACACACACACCACCGCACACAAAACCACCACACACAAAACCACCACACACCACCACACACACCACACACACCAGCACACACACCACAAATGCACCACACACACCACACACCACCACACACACCAAACATCCCACACACAACACACACACACCCACATACCACACACGCTACAAACCACACCACACGATAAACCATCAGACCATTCCGATCCACCAACAGACTAACACACAGTGGGTGCCGATCTGGCTGTGGGTAAGAGTGTCTGCACCACAGACAACACCTCACTCAAGGACCTACTCACTGTGCATGCGTCGAATGAGCTCCAGTCTGGGTTTGGATCTGGGTGTGTCTGGGCGTGGTCTGGGTCGAGTGTGGGTCAGGGCGTGGTCTGGGTCGAGTGTGGGTCTGGGTCTGGGTCTGTGATCTGGTGTGGTGGGCATGGGTCTGGGTGAGTTCGTGTGTGGGTCTGTGGTCTGGGTCGAGTGTGGGTCTGGGTCGAGTGTGGGTCTGGGTCTGGGTCTGTGGATCTGGTGTGGTGGGCATGGGTCTGGGTAGGAGTTCGTGTGTGGTCTCTGCGGGTCTCTTCGCAGTATTGTGTGTGATGCATTCGGGTCCGGTGGCAGCTGCTGTCAGGATTAAATCTACGAATCTGCTCGCTCATTGCTCCATGGAAACGATCGGTATCACCGCATTTGAACAGAAGCACCGCGCACTGTGCAACGCCAATAAGGCGTTGCATTGGGCGTGGCAATTTTCACCGCGCAAGGTGCCGCGCCCGCCAATATTTACTGAAAACGCCGCCACCATGGATGGTGCCAAACCACCATGGTCACAAAGGCGCGCGTTTCCTTTAATAAGACTTAGGATCAGGGTGTATATATCCGGAATTTCTGGGTGCAGAGTTGCCCCTAAACCCTAAACCGAATCTTAGCTTCAGTTAGAGAGATCAACGAGCTAACACAGCCTGGAATCGAATCCTACTCGGTCACCGGTCCCTAAACTTCAGAACCCACCACCCCCAAACTCTGAAATCCCAAACAAAGCCAAACCACATACCCTCAAACCAATAATCCTCTAGACCCTCTTCTCGGAAGTCCGAAACCCTATAAAACCTACACCCCAAAACCCTAAAACCTACACCCCAACACCCTCAGACCGACACCCGAAAACCAAGACCCTCCAAACACTTCGACAAGCCACGGGGATGCGCCGCCAGCCCCCATGGTCAGCTGCCGACGGATGGAGATTCGACCTCGGATCTCGTAGTTCAGGGGAGAGGCGGCCTTTACAAGTAGGTCGGGTTTAGGATTTAGGGTTTATGGCGTTTAGGGTTTAGGATTTAGGCGTCTAGGGTTTAAGGTTCTATTTCGGCTCTCGATAAAGGTTTCTTTTGCTGCTCTACCAATGGAGTAAGCATCCCGACCACCTTCCATATTAGGGTTCCAACGTTCAAGCTTTTGGCATATGAAAGGTGCACCCCGACAGTTGGGACGCGTCTTTTGGTCAGGGTCCTGTAAGGAGGCAACTCAAGCAGCAGCAAAAGAACCACGTGCTACATTGGGCCTAAATTGGCACTCAAGTCCTCTGAAACTGCTGCTGCTTAACAAAGGGACCTAACACTCGGAACCCCACATTTGTTCACCCTGCTGCTTGGTGAGCTTTATGTTGATGGGAGAGGGTGCGAGAATTCGCTCTTTATAGTAGGGTCTTTACAGAGTCCAGGGCGAACCAGAATGTGATCTGACTGTCAAGTCGCAACCACATGTAAACCCTAAACGGCCCTAAAGCCTATGAAGTTAATATGAGGCCTTAGATAATTAGAATAGGGCTTTGGGGCCCATTATACTATTCTTATATTGAGGAACCCCCAAACTAATATAGGTAGTTATTCAAGCCCCTATACTCGAGTCCCAGCTCCAACCATGGATTTTTGCAAACTTTGCTGAGTTCGACTACAAACACGAAACGTTAAGCCCTAAAGCCCAAAGCTCTTAACCATAAACCTTCGTGCCCTAGACCCTACAGCTTCAACCTCCAACCCGAAAGCCCTAAGGCCCTCAAGCCCCACAACACCCTAGAGCTTCTTGCGCAAGGAGGCGTATCTGAGCTTGCTTCTCGTTGGCCTTGCGCTGCAAAGCAAGATCCAGCCTCCTGGGCAAGGCACTCAGAGGAGTCGAGAATATCCAGGCAAACATACGGGTATCCTTAAGAGAAACTCAAGCCAATGCATGAATCCTTGTTTCTAGAGAGTATGCTACGGCTCATTTCCGGTTCCTGCCTAGGGTGCTTGTCCTGAAGCGATCCTCTCGGTCAGCGGCGAGGGAGGGGGCCGGAGGTCAGGGCTTTTGTGGTGTTGGACATTTGGGGTTCTAGATAACCGGAAATGTCGAGATCTGATCCTTCCGGCGTTTCGGATGGGCACCAAATCTTCCAGCCAAACTCTGAAACCCTACACTCCTACACCTTCACCCTCCTTATACCTGCAAGATGTCTGAGTAGGAGGAGCTTAAGAGTTCCGGTTAAGGCGCTCGAAAGATGATCACATGCCCGAAAAAGGGTTTAGGGTTTATCTACCCAAACAGGGTATACTTTGGGCTTACAGTGCCTTATGTGTATTGAGGTTCGTACAAAGAGATAGAGCATCACAGCTTACGTGGACTACTTTAAGGCTGAAGGATATGGGGGTTTCCGGAAATAGGGGACCCTAATGTAGTACCCTAAATAGTAAGATCCCTATTATAAGGACCCCCAAATAAGGTACCCCTAATTTTCGGAAACTCCCATATGTCACACCGAAGCCCAATTACACATCCACGGAATTCAGTCTTCAGATATGGGACTTGTGGTTGATCGTGGTTCAGGGTAAGGGTTCACTATACTGAACTTAGAACCCTAGCAACAATTACAAATGTTAGCTGTTTCTTAGGGATTATACTAACCAGAACTAAAAATACTTCTAAGTACCCCTAAGTTCAGGGTAGGGTATAGGATTTGCAGGATTTGGGCACAGGATTTTTTTTACGGTAAACACCACTTTGGACAAGTGTCTGCAAATTATCCGTGGTGGGTTTAACTCCTCAAAGGGACAGGAACAGGTCCTGTTCGTCTTGTTCATGGACTCGCTGGTTGCAAGTGTAGAAAACTCCTCTGCGACAAACGGGGTCATTTCTGAACCAAAGACGCAGCAGGGTATAGGGTGCTTCATGGTGATTCAACATCGCAGTCTTCGTTTACATTCATAGGAAACTCTGGAATCCAATACGTGAATGCGAAAGCTGTGCTACCGGCCCGAATACAAATCTATGCTAAACCTTGATTTGGGCTACGGTCTCTTTTCGTAAGCTTACATACATATGCCAATTCTGCTTGATGCTGTTCTTACGCGTATTATGCTCGTTGAAGCAGTCGTGGAAGTCGTTGCTACGTTCTCTAACTTCTTGCATCGCTGCTGGCTGGTGCGAAACTCTATGTGAAGGTTCCAATAGGCTCTAGTGCTCTAGTTGCATAGCTTGCAAACCCGAACATGTACGCAGTTAGGTTGTATCTGAACAGGCTTGTGAGTACTGAAGCTCGGACTACTATCTCTCCATGAGCACCTTTCCGTAAACCACACCGACTCACATGTCCAGGGAGATATGGAGGGACCCGAACTCGGGGTGTGTGGTTTCCTTGAGGGCTGTGGCAGAAGCCCCAAATCCTAACACCACAAACTTCAAGCTCTTCTCGTGCCCTGAAGTAATCCCTAACCCTTACCCTTTGTCCGATATGCTGAAAAGAGAAACGACCTTGACAGCGTAAAGCCCCTATTATCCAAAAAATGCCCGATACGGCTCGGAAACTGGCAGCGGACGTCATAGTCGGACAATGATTGAAGGATCAAGTGGCCCTTGAAGAAGTCTACATCCTAGAAGGCGAACAGTATATAGGAGCTGAACCATAACCAGATTAAATACCCTATCAAACTCTAAGAACCCATCGCAAACCCTCCAAAACCCTTGCCGGCGTTCTTGTGTTCCGTAGGTAGGGCCGTAACACTGTCATGACTAGACTAGGGTTTTGGGGGAGGTCATTATGCTAATTATAGCATAATGGCATAATGCACCCCCCCCCCAAAAAAAAAAAAAAAAAAAACTATTCTAACTATCGAGGCCCCTGTATGAGAGTTTCCGAAAATCAGGAGTACCTTATTTTGGGGTCTTCATAATAAGGATCCTACTATTTAGGGTTACTCGACTAGGGTCCCCTATTTTCGGAAACTCCCATAAACAAATGCCAAAAACTATGGGCCACCGGGCCGGGGCCTCTAGCGTTGCTCGCATCTGCGTCTGGTAATTCCTCAGGCCCTCTGTGAGCCTGACCAGGCTGATGGTTTAGGGTTTAGGGTTTAGGGAATAGGGTTTAGGGTTTAGGGGTCTCGAGTTGCTTTACCTATGGGGTTGAGGGGTGGAGGGTTTATGGGGTTTAAGGGTTTAGGGGCTGACAGGTTTCGGGTTTATTTGGGGGGTTTAGGGTTATAGGGGTCCAGGCGCCCGAATAGTATATACTTTGCCCTTACAGTAGTCCCTAGGAAGGTACTTTGGAGCCAGAATATATACTGTTTGGCTATACGGTCCCTTAAGGCAAGGGTTTAGGGTTTGAGGCTTTGCGAGTTGGGGGGTTTAGGGTTCAGAGCTTAGGGCCTTGCGAATTGGGGATTCAGTCGAGGTCTTTAGGAATACGGGTTTAGGGTTAGGGTCTTCAGGGATTAGCGGGTATGGGTTTCAGTAGGACTCTACGGCAACCTACGACAACCGAAACCTGTCCCCTAATCCTTGAAACAACAAGTCTGCTAAGGGTATCTTGGGCGATCTTGGGAATCCCACTGTTTCTTGCCAGTACGGGGCTTTAGAGATTGACGGCCCCTGTCCAAGAAACAGAAAGACTCCTAACCACCACCCCTGATCAGGGTCTCGTGTCTTGAGTGTTCCTCGGAGTTTCAAGTGCCTAGGATCAAGAATAAACGTCTCTCCTGCATGTCTATGTCTGATGATATAGATAACGCAAAGGGTTCATGGGGGCTAGAGGTTCAGCGCCTCCTCGGATATGCTATTCTCGTCTGGCCGGCAGAAGACTGCTCATGGAGACAAGACATTTAGAGTTTAGGGTTTCTTCAAAGTTTCTTCGGCATCAAAATCTGTTAGGCCCTGGCGCGCAGGCCTGGGTCTCTCAAGCTGGGTCTTCACTTGCAGCTTTCTCGCGACACTCGACGACCCAAAAGAGTAGGTCGCTCTTCCCAGAACAAGGACACTAACATGTAGAGGGATCCTTATTTGTAGAAGCCCGGCGTAAAATTGCAGGGCAGCAGTAGGAGCAGGAGGAGTAGTGAGATCCAAGTAGTTCATGGGCTTCTATCACATACGTTGTGTTGGACTGTTGGGTTCTGTCGTAGATACCCTAAACATGAAGCCCAAGACCCTAAACCGCAGGAGAAACAACGCCATCCGGCCTCAGCTCATGCTCCGTCAACTCGAGGCAAACCTTTTTCAGAAGCTGCACGGCTAGATCGGGCTTAGGGTTATTGGGCTTAGGGGTTTGACTAGGGGTTTAGGGTTTAGGTTTCAGCGGCACGCTGCAAGGCTGAATAAAAAATGATCACATGCACAGCCCCCAAAAATACTTCCTGAAAGGCCCCCCAAAAAAGAAGCCATATAGCTCCAAGAACCTGAAAAGCTTACCAAGAAGAACCTACAGATCAACTGTCCCCCTTAGCCCTGAAGCCATCATCCCAGCCAGCCCTGAACCTTAAGCACAGCTACACCCCAAACACCCTTCAATTCCCAAGACCGCCCTACACCAGTCCGGAGCCGAATGCTACGACCGTTTAAATATGAAGACCCCGAAGGACACCAAGTACAGTAATACAGTAAGGGGCACTGCCCTGAAGTTCATGAATCCTACCCTTACCTCCAAATTTCCCCAAATCCTAAACCTCATTGGACTTACAGCCTTACACCCAGCATTGCTATGGGCTCCTCACAGCAAAGCCCTTGTACTGTTCTTGAATCGTAGTACATAAAGCCCAAGCTTTTGGCAAGAAACGTTGTCTCGATCATCATCGGCCTGCTCGTCCTTTCCGCTGTCCTGCAACAGAAGATGTCGGATGCGGGCGGTTTCTGACTATTCAGGCTACCATAACCGGGGTGCAATTAGAATGAATAACCGAATAGTAGTAAAACTAATCGTGTTGACAATCATACTCACAATACTTGGACCTGGGCGGTCTGTGTCTGTGTGTGTGTGTGTGCGTGTGTTTGGGGGGGGGGGGCTGCGGGGGGTGGGGGGGTGGGGGGTGGTGGGGGGTGGTGGGGGGGGTGGGGGGTGGTGGGGGGTTGGGGGGGTGGGGGGTCACAAACAATATGGCAGTTTCCGAAATTACGGGATACCCTAATTTGAGTCCTTATAATAAGGATCCTGCTATTTAGGGTACTAAAGTAGACATGTGTTGTAGCAAGGCCATGTCCGTTCTCCCAAACAAGAAACCGACGCCCGGATGGAGGGGAAGACGCAGCCCTGTGAACTACCGGCAAGGGAGCTACATCGGAGCATCCAGGTAAGGCTGAACATTTATATACAGTAAACCCCATAAAGTTGGAAACCGGAGTAAGGCCAAATAGTACCGGGATTCCCTATACATTACTCTTACGGATTCAGGCTATTGGAAAACTTTTGGGCGCCTACTGTAATTCTATTGGCTATTACAGCTTCGAACTAACTGTGCTGCTCGATGTCAGTGGAGTTTGACTAACTTCGTGCTGGATCAAAAGCCCGTCCCCAAATCAGCACGATCATAGACCCTCAGCTCTAGACGCCTGTTGGTAAACAGAGATAGTGTGGCGGCGTAAGATGGGGGATATTACATCCAAACCCTAATAGATCAAAACGCCGCAACCCTAAACCCCTTCGCAGATGCACTGGTATGCCAGCTGTACCTAAACCGTGTTGGTGGTGGCAGCCTCGACGAGGCTCAATAAGACCCTTTTAGGCTAGGCCTAGGGATCGTGACAGAATACACACCGTTGAAGTGTAAGTTTTGGCATATGCCGTGTGCAGTCGCGTATGGCAGTACCACAGGCTCAAGTCCTGTAGAAGTAGCTGGCCGTGGAGCTTACCAACTCATTCTTCTGGCCGCTTTTAAGAGGGCCCCTCGAACGCGAGCTAATAGCCCAAAACCCTGACTAGGTGCCATGGTAGCCCCTTATTAATGAGGACATGCTTTTTCTATTCGGCTTTAATCAGGACACCCCTACACAACAGGGCAGCACTGGGAGACCGAGCCTAAAACCTTGCAGACGACACCCTACAACCGGCTAAGGTCTCCAATGCATAGGGCTTGGAGGCGAGTCCATCTCGGCATCACAGACACGGAAGAACTCGCGCATGCTTTGCTCCACACCTGTCTGGGATTTATGAAGGGGTCCATTTATAGAGAGGTTATAGGCAAGTTATAGGAGTGAATGCCGTTGAGTGGCTAAGGACTTCAGGTTTTGGGGAATAGCGTGAGGTGTGTGGCCGGCTACTCTGGCGATGCGCCAGGATATTCACTTCCTTCTTTCGGATTGGACAGAGGCAGATTGAGACAAATCCGGAGTGTGGGGCAACGGCTTTACATACTGTCATGCGAAACCTCCCGCTCGGTAGTCTCTCCGATCTTGATAAACATTCATCCTGCTTGTCAGATAGGCTTAGTTTTGTGTCCAGGGCTTAGGGTTGTAGCACTGTCAGGAAGTCTCAATATGTATGAGAAGTAATGCTGAAGACTCCTGCTCGACGCCGCAACCTCGAATCCTAAACGACCCAAAGCCCGGAAGTCAAAAGTACCGGAAACTGAACCAAAACAGGAACTCCAAACCCCGAGGCCAAAAGGCCTATGAAGTTCTTCACCCACTTGGAGAACTCGTGCTGGAGGTTTGGCCAGTTCAGCGAATTCATCATCCGGCGGATGGTTCGCATCCTCAGCAGTTCAGGGCTTGCGCGGGGCTCCATGCGCCAACCATTAACGGTCAATAGTCATCCTACAAAGGCTTCTAAACTATTGCACGCCCTGTTACACCTCTACATCCGAAACCCTTAACCTTTTCTAAACCCTATATACTCTGAGCCCCTGAGCCAAAAACCTTACGGTCTTTCTAGGGGCTGCAGCTGGGAGGCTCAGGGCTTGCCAAGGTCCTTGAAAAGTTCCGATATCGGCAGACCTCTAAGTTGGGGGGGTCCCTTTTTAGGTCCCCAACATACTACAAAAGAACCTAAAGGGGACCCTAATTTTGGAGAACTACCCATATAATATTGTATGTTATTGCGGTACCGCAGTATGGAATAAACCTTCCCGACACCCCAGCCGAAAGGAACTGTTATATCGAGCCCCGCGTGCAGAACACTCAGAATGAAGATTTTGAGGCATGTTCTGAAGAGGAAGTGCCGCCGAGGTACCTACGAGCTACTTGTATCAGTTTTGCCTGTAATGATACAGGCCCAAGCTTTACTACAGTTTTCCTTGGTGACAACGCCGCGGCAAACAACATCACTGCCGACTGTGGGGTTACAAAATTCGCGATTCCTGGCTTCCGGCTAGATGCGATTCATGATGTGTGGTTTCTCAGAGCTGCAAGATTGCAGCATCCATTCAACAAGATCAGTGAGTAGTGGCCTCAAAACACCCCTGGTGGCCACTGGCTCGAAGATGCAAACCCCGTAACCCCGCTAAAGGTAACATGCAACCCGCCAATGGTCACTCGCACAGTCGCCAACACCTCGATATGCCTGAATCAGACCCGAACAATCCAGGCAAACACCACCCTGCCATGAAGCGGCTTCATCCTGGATACCTCTGTACATATAAAATGTTAATATATAACCAAGCGAACAAACAAACGACAAAAACCACGCAAGCGCTGAACACAATTTGCGAGCCCGACAAGCTTGAATCTGACACAGAGGCCTACGACAATCCTACAACCTATAGACCCCACGCGCGAAACTCCTAAATGCCCCCAACTGAGCTCTTTAAACCCTAAGCCTGAACCCTTTAATTGAATCCCTAAACCCTCTGATTCATGCTACACACCAAACCCCCAAATCCGACCCCAAACAGTAGGATCCTTCTTGGGAACCCCGCTTCGTAAACCCCCTAGGTTCAATTCGAACCTCCTACATCCCAAACCCGCGAAAACTTGAACCCTAAGCAATAAACACCAAACTTTCAAAGACGGGCATCTGGTTGGCCACAGCCTCAGACTGGCCTTGCAGTCAAGAGACCAGCTTAGGGCTTAGGGTTGAGGAGATTAGGGCTTATATCGGTTCGGGGCTTAGGTGGGTCTAGGGCTTGGAGGATTTTAGGGCAGGATGCTGCTATACTGAACTTAGAACCCTCGCAAAAATCATAGTTTTAGCTGTTTCTTAGGGATTATAATACCCAAAAAATGAAAATCATTTCTAAGTACCCCTAAGGCTTGAGTGCTGAGGGCTTGGGGCCTCAGGTTTGGGGAACTCGCTCAAATCCCACCTCAAACCCACCGAAACTACCTATAGTCTCCATTGTAGTTCCTTTTGTTGGTTAACCGATACTATGGTTAGGATCCTATAATAGAGTTTTTGGTTAACCAAAATAAGGAACTACAATGGAGACTATAGGTACTTACTGCACATGCGGACTTCGATAAAAGAACCAACGCCCTGGCACTTACAACGGCTCAGGGCAGCTAGTGTCCAAGGTTGGGGATATCCTGTTGAGGACCTTTAGACGACGGCCTAAAGATGCTTTAATTAGAGGGTGGGGGATGGCAAATATGCTGGACAATTCTTGCGGTAGAACACAGAACGACAATATACCTTAAGCCCAAAGTTGATACTTCGATCTGCTTTGAGGTTGCAGGTTTAGGATCTAGGGTTCAAGTTAGTATTAGTATTAAGTACTAGTATTACTATTAGTGTTTGTTTTTGGCATCGGGCTTTGGTTCCTCTATGTCGCTGTCGCTGTGCTCCCACCAAAGTGGTTTACTTGGGACAGGAGGCAAGAAAGCATCTCATGTCGAGGGGGGGCTTAGAAGCCATCCACACCTGAAATCCTCGAAGATGTAAAGCCCCGAACACTGAAGCCTGAACGACCAAACTCCTGAAACCCAGCATTGTTCAACCTCAAGCGAGCTAGAAAGCCCAGACACCCTAAACCCCCAGGAAGCCCACCGTGCAGCCGCGGAGCTCTTGTCGTCACTGGGCGCTTTCTGGAACTTCACTGACGGCTGGCTCGAGATCATCTTGATCATATCTGAGAAGGGTAGAAACAATCATGTTATGTTTGCAGGCTTCTGGGTCGGGGCTGCATAGGGGTCGAATACTACAGACGCAACTAATGAAGTGGCTGGGTCGTTCCGTCGAGACCTCAGTCAGGGACTTGCCCTATGTCCACATGTTAACTCTAGTTTTGGGTTAAAATGACGTCCAAGCAATGGAGTCAGGGTATCCTTCTGGTGATGGTGTCCTGTCTTGTAGTGGCAAACCACATTCAAGCGGTGTGGCTTCGAATCCGAACTCCTGCAGAGCTTGCATTCCACCTATCCTTGCATGACAGGCATGTTTGCATAGGGGACTTGATGCAGAATCAGTTTGGGGCTTGGGGGCTATACTCCAGTATAGGTATGTTTGGAAGAACCCCTTAAGCCTCAACGAACACTACACTACTTGATCATGCTTCGTTGTGACTGGCTTTACCAGAACTATTCAGTCACTCTGGATATGGGAGTCGTGGGCTAGGAGAAAACTGCGACAATCAAATCGAAACCGCAGCATTTGCCAAATCTCCTGAACAAGCTTCAAGGTTAAGAAGCCACCAGGACACCTAACCCGACACTCCCAAACTTGCCTGAACCATCCTGAGCCCAAAGCTTCAACCTCCGCCAAACCTTAGAGTCCTGAAAGCGTTGCTAGTTTGAGCACTGGTGGGTTCCACAACGGTCAAACTAAAGACCCAACCTTACGGCTCAGGGCGTTGAGGTGCCTAAGCAGTTCATGCCCAAGCACTGTTGTTCAGCATGGAGCTCTTGCGACGCTGCAGGCGTTTTGGCACCTGCTACACGGAGTGCAGGGTGAGGAGTTTGATGAAACTCAGATAGACAAGTATTCATAACTTCGCAGAACGCAAGATGCAGGGGCATGAATGAATGCAGCCTTTTCTGTTCTTTGCCAAGTCGGCACAGTAAGGGCCTGGGTTCCGTTAAAGCGTTGTATCCGGGCTTCTATAAAGGCTCAATGTGATGTATAGGGCGCTAGTAATTGAAGCCGCCGGGAAGCCCTGGAACCCTGAAACCTGCAAGCCCAACTTGTAACGCTCAACCCAACACCGCAAGTTCTGAAGCCTTTAGCTCTACTGGAATTTGAAAACGCCTCCTTTGAAACTTCTTCGAGGGTAAGGCTTCCATATGGGTTTAACAGATTAGGGCCTGACAATTTAGGAGGGAATTAGTTGACTTGATGTGGATTGTAGTATACAAAACAGGGAGAATGAAGGGATTCTATGACTGCCTACGTAGTAATCATTCATACAGGCTGCAAGAATACTAGATGAGTACCTGGTGCTGATACTGTCAAAAGAAGACACCATTGCCAATAAGATTCCACAGATCGAGATTCCACCGCCTTCGAAGCCCTGGGTTCGAAAAGCTAGGCTGCAAACCCGTACATTGAAACCCGGCAGAACCCTGACACACCCCTATGCAGCCTTACAAACACCCTTAAAGAAACCTTGAAATGACGCCGTAGACATCCCGAACCCAAACCCAGAAGCCCAAATGCATCCTTAGGTTTAAACAAACCACAAATGCCGGAGGCCCAAGACTATACTGAACTCAGAACCCTAGCAACAATTACAATTTTAGCTGTTTCTTAGGGATTATAATAACCAAAAAATTGAAAATTATTTCTAAGTACCCCTGAGAAGAAAGGAAGTTCTGGAGCCTCCTCCTTGCTGCTGTCCATGCCCTCCATATCCTCAATGAAGAGCTGAGCCTCGCGCTGCACTGAGATTTGGAATTTCGTTGGATTTTCGGGCTTGGGGCTGTTTAGGGTCTTGGCTTAGATGAAGATTCATGGGCATTGAGAGATTTGCCATCGGAATCTGGTGTGCAAGGCTCAAGCTCCAAGGCTCTTGGGCTCGGAGGGTTTATATAGGGGTTCAGAGGTTTAGGGTTTAGGGGGTTTAGGGTGGGGCTTGGGCTTTTGGGTTGCTCGGGCATGAAAGTCTCCTTTAACTTGGACCGCCAAAATCTCTACCCCATTTCATCGAACCCCTTCCCTGCCCACTTTCGATACTTTGGACACTATGGGTCAGCGGGACATTGGCCCAGGGCGGGAGGCTCTACGGCTTTACCCGCCGCAACCTACTTGTTTGTAGGGCCCCTATAAGACCTATAGGATTTATAGTGCGAACGCACAAAAAAGTAGGTTGTGGTAGTTGAAGGTAGAGGTTACAGTGGGGTTTAGGGTTTTAGGGAGCTTACTGCACTTCAGGGGTTCAGCTGTAAGTGGCCTCGCAAGCAAGAGCGCTCTAGAATTACTTGATCTGTGGCTGTAAAGCCCTATAGGGTCGATGGTTGCCCAAAGCAGGGACCCGTAGATGAGCGCAAGATGTCGGAGGGTGTCGTGTTTCGGGTTCAGGGTGTCTCCTCATGGGCCATATTGGCGTCGCATCACGCCGAGAGCTACGATACCCCGAGAATCGCTGAGCTATACGCTTATTGCTCCTCCCTGCCAAGAGAACCCTGTCAACAAGTACTTCTGATCGACAGTCGCCAGATTTGCTTCGTGGGACCCGAGGCCGAAATAGTCCAAGTTCCACGCGATGCGGCCCCTGGCGTTGCCCTTCACACCAAAGGGCGAATCGCTGAACGCCCAGCGGCCAAGGCAGGTGAAACCACGGCTCGCACACCAGGCGAAGGAAGAATACATCACGAGCGCGACTCGCTAGAGCGGCCCCTTTGTGATAGAGGCATGAGAAAGTGAACCTTAGAGAGTCTTGAAGGCGGGGAGCCGTAAGCCTCAACCCGTTATGTCTCGGTACCAGAACCCCTCAAGCCAAAGGTTGGCATGGCGTTTAGCGGTAGGGTTACAGGGTGATAGGGATTATAGGGTTTTTAGAGGTTCAGAGGCTGGGATTGTAAGAAACAGACAAATCAATACACAAACAAACAACAGGAATGACTCAATACCTATAAGAGAACATGAGTGTAAATACACATAGTTAACAAATATATAACATCTGCAAGTTCTAAACGTGATGAATAACAGGCGAGTAAGCTAAGCACGTGATGAAACACACAAAATGAACAGATAAAGAACTTATCAACGCTAACAACAAACAACGACAACTATGTAAATCTGTAAGGGAATACTAATACAAACGTAAAGAAACATACGCGTATACAAATACACGTGTGTACATACATATAAAAATACATACATACACACATACATATATATATATATATATATATATATATAACCTGCACTACAGGTTGCATTCAGAGCAAAACCAACCCTCAACACGCATGAAAGCTGGGCTGCAAATGAAGCAGGGTAATCACAAAGCACCGAAGCAGCCAAGGCCTAATCTAGCCCTCAAATCCTAAAACCCCGTTTCATCCAAAGACGACCCGGTGCCACCAGCCTCACGCATCCTCCGCTGCACCTCCACCTGTCGCTTAGCTCTCGGGCTTCGGAACAGGTTTGGGGTTCAGGACTCAAGGGGTTTAGGGTTTGGAGCTTCAGGGGTTGAGTGTTTGAGGTTTAAGGGGTTTAGGGTTCGGGGCTTAAGGGGTTTGGGTTCGGGGCTTAAGGGATTTAGGGTTTGGAGCTTAAGGGTTTAGGGCTTGGGGCTTAAGGGGCTTAGCGTTTGGGGCTTAAGGGATTTAGGGTTTGGGGCTTGAGGGGTTTAGGGTTTGGGGCTTAAGGGATTTAGGGTTTGGGGCTTGAGGTTTTTGTTTGAAGCGTGATGACGGTTAGTCTACCTGTACAGGCACACTCTGGTGAGACAAGCACATCGTAGGGCTCGAATGACGACGTAGTCAAGGTTTCCACATTGTTCACGACCAGAGAGGTGTTCATCACATAGTAGACATTCAACCATCTTCAGGCACTCTTGTAGCAGTCGTCCCATTATCCATCGCACTTGTAGCCATTCCAAATGTAGTAGACACCGTAGTGGATGATGCCGAAGCTGGATAGAAGGGTTTAGGGTTCGGGGCTTAAGGGGTTTGTGGTTTGGGGTTTAAGGGGTTTAGGGTTTGGGGCTTAAGGGGTTTGTGGTTTGGGGCTTAACGGGTTTAGGGTTTTGGGCTTAAGGGGTTTAGGGTTTGGGGCTTCAGGGCTTTAGGGTTTGGGGCTTAAGGGGTTTAGGGTTTGGGGCTTAAGGGGTTTAGGGTTTGGGGCTTCAGGGCTTTAGGGTTTGGGGCTTAAGGGGTTTAGGGATGGTTTTGGATTCTCCAGGTTGGGATGTGGCAGGCCGTGCAACAAACAACAGACCGACGAATTTGGGCAAAATGACGACCCCACATATTATCCTCGCTCATCAAACGACCCGGAAGGGAAGTTTTGTAAAGGAGCTTGCCCAGATACCCCAACAGCGGCTGCACTCGAGACGTATGACCCACGGATTCCATAACAAGAAGATGCCGGGATAACATGTCGTCAATAATTTAGGGGCATTAATAATTAAAATAGGATTCCGGTTTAAGGGGTCTACAATGGCTACTATAAGGATTTAGTATAAGGGCCTTAATAATTGGAATAGGTTTCGGTGTATATTATATTATATAACTATAATATTTAGGCCCCTGTATTACTCCCGAAGCATGAAGCCCGCAAGTCCAGCCTGGATCTTCGACATCTGCAGGAACTTCTGGCTGAAATCTCCTCAGAATGCATAGAAGGGTGTTGTGACCGTAGGTGCTGTTGCTTGTGCTAGTGGTGATACAATGTCGCCAAAATGCGGCCCTCTCACGGATTCTGGTATCGCAACATTTGGCTCAACCGGCTTCGCTGGGACATGACATCAGTATCAGTAATGTATGGGCCTCAATAATTAGAATAGGGTGTGGGGATGGTGTTGAAAGCTCCTGATTACCATTATAGCGGAATATCCTATACAAAACTTGCAAAACTGCCATTATCACTGCCATTTTCCAGGGCTTTGTGAGGCTTTGTACAGGGTCTTGTACGGGATTCATAAGGATGCCGCATCTACTGGGTTTAGGCTTGAAGGATTTGGATAGACGCTTGGTTAATGACGCCCATACCTCGACGGTCCATGATGTGCGGATCCCTATCTTAATCCTCAGACCCCTCACCCTCAAGATGGGAGTTCGTACTTATGGGGTCTACATCGACGACAAGATCTCTATGCCAAGGAAGTTTGTTTAAATCCTAGACCCTGTTGACTCCGACCTCGTCTGAGACGAAAGCACTAAAGCCCGCAAACGCGGTCGAGACGGAAACTCCCTCTACCGAAGTGCGCTGGGTTTGGGTTCAGGAGTTTAGCGTTTCGGCTTTCGGGGCTTTTTTGATTAGAGAGATTATAATTTGGAAAGCTCAGGGTTTGGGCTTAACTAATTAGGGTTCAGGGTTTGGGGGTCCGAAGATCAAGGCTTCGGTGAGGAGATGCCCTAAGCCCTGATACCCCCACAAGAAGTTCAAAAGACAGCGATCGCACAGACCGAACCCTGGAGCCCCCCCCCAAAATCGGAACAGTTCAGGAAGAGAGGGGTTTGGGTTTCGGGTTTAGGAGGGTTTTGGATTCGGGGTTCAGTTTTGGATATAGAGATTCGTTGAAGGCTCTTTTCCGTCCGCTCAAGTCAAGCATCCAGAAGCCCCAGTGGAGAGCCAAATATGAGAAATATAAGGTTTTGACACCCCAACCCCCCCCCCCCAAACCCCAAACCAAGAACTCAAACAAAGACCCTACCCCCCTACCCCCAACAATCCAACAACAAAAGGAACAAAGGAACAGCTTCGCACCAGGCAGCTGTTCAAGTTGGCATTGTGACCGTCTGCGAGCTTTCGAGCCTTTGAGCTGGTCTCAAGTCTTCTTGGGTTAGGTTCCCCAAGTCTTTTGAGGTTGGGACCCCATGATGGTGAGTAACAGAAGGCAAGAGAAAGAAAACCACTGAGGGTCTAGGTACAGGCGTGCTTTGGGGATGGTTGGGGGAATGCATGACACAGGCTTCCGGACCGCAGCGTGGCCCTAAACACCCCAAGCTTGACCGCCTAATTAAACAGTAAGCCGTGGCCGCGGATCCTAAACCCTAAACCGTACAGTGTGCGAGCAGTATAAGATACAGGAGCCCTGTATTCGTGAATGGTTGTTCGGACCTTGCCTAGGCGTGCTTATCTTGCCCCCTCCCTCGTCAATTGTACTGTCGATAGTGACACTACCACTGTCAGGACTATGGATGAATACTATTGCGAGCCACGATCTATGTCTATAGGGTTATATACTACTACGCTTATCGTTGTGACTTTGAGCAGTTGCCTGTAGTATGCTTACTACACCTACATGGTTGCATTCTGAACCATGTGAAACAACAACAGAGCACAGCGCAACCAAGCCAGAGCATCTAAGAAAGGCTCAGCCGAATCCTAAGCATAAACCCTAGACCCTAAAACCCTACAATTAATCCAGAACAAATCCCCATAACCCTAAAACCTTGACCCTAAAGCCTGAACCCGAAATCCTACAGCCCTGAACCCTAAGCCCCGAAACCCTAAGCCCCTAAACCCCAGACCCCTAACCCCTAAACCTCTCAACCCCAAGCCCTAAACCTTAAGACGGAACTGCTGGGAAGCCGGCAAGTTGAGACACACCTTGACCATTGTCACCGAAAGCCTTTGGGGGTTTAGGAGTTTAGGGTTTAGGGCTTGGGTTTTGGGGTTTGGGGGTTCGGGGGTTTAGGGTTTAAGGGTTTAGGGCTTAGGGGTTTGGGTAGGCTTTAGGGGTTTAGGGGCTTGTGGGGTTTAGGGGTTTGGGGGGGCGGAGGGTAGGGTTAAGGGGTTTGGGGTTTAGGCGGTTTCGGGTCTAAGGGGGCTTCGGATTGAGGTGTTTAAGGTTTAGGGGTTTAGGGTTTGGGGCTGAGGGGTTTAGGGTTTAGGGTGCCCGTAAGAAGTAGACTTTGATCTTAAGAGGGACTCTGACAAAGGACTTGTAGCGCTTTTTATGGGGTTGGAAAAGGGACCCCCCAATTCGAATAGGGTTTCGCAGCGAGACCTTACTTTGGAATTGCAAGGCTTCAATCTTGCAGTGTTGAGTATAGGGACCGGACACTCTTAGGCGAGGGTCCTCAAGGACTTTGAAGGAGCTGATTACTAGCAGCATGTTAATGGACCAGGCTTGAGCATCATGGGTCATCGTGGGCTTACACTTACCCTTTGGTTAGTAGGGAGTGGAAGAATGGTAGTAATAGTAGTTATGATTGTACCCCATTCCTCCATTCCGTACTGACCAAAGGTAAATACGTAAGAACTACGGTTCTATGAGGGTTTACGGCTTTCGATGTTCAACTTTCCACTGCAGGCATATGAGCCCTCCGGGTTTACAGGCTACGGCTGAGGATTTTCCTAAACCCTAAACCCTAAACCGCTAATCAGGCTTCGGCGGGCAGATATGCATACCCCTCGCAACAATCCTGCACAACATACGTATTCATTCCGATTTTGCAGTGATGATGATTTCTTCAAGCACCGGTATGACCGCTTGTGGTCGCAGTCCCCTCACCCTCGACCGGGATTTACTCTTTGTGTAGACACCACGACTTCATCTCCCTCTGCTGCGTTTCAATAGGCAAACACGGAAATCCAAAGCTTGTCCTAAACCCTTGACCCCTTGACCCTAAATTAAACTGCAGCGTTGCAACTATTGGTGATGCGCGAAGGCTGGGGACTCTCAGTGCAACTGCCATTGATGCAAGTAGGGTTGGGAAATCAAGTCGCATCGTCTAATTAGGGTTTAGAATCTGGAGCTTAAGGTAGTGGGCTTAAAGTTACGAGCCAGCGAAGCCCAAATCCCAAACCCCAAGTAGGTTTGGGAAACCCAAATTCCAAGTGCCCAAATGGGAGCTTCCGAAAATAGGAGACCCTAATATATAGTAGCCTGAATAGTAGGATCCTTATTGTAAGGACCCCAAAATAAGGTACCCCGAATTTTCGGAAACTCGCAAACACGCGAAGTCTGGGCTTCTGAATGCTCGTGGTGGCCTCGATAGGGATCTGCATGAACAGGTTCGAAACGGCCTCGACCAAGTCCTGGAGCAAGCATGAACAAATCCTGAACAAGAAGGAGCCCCCAAGCAAGGGCCGATAATATCCACATCAAGCCGGCTATATCGCGAGAGCCCGCTCATACATGCCGTCACCACTACTCCTGCTTCTAATGCTGCTGCTGCTACTGCTGTCGCTTTTGCTGCTCCTTCTCCCGCCTCCTGCTGTATACTAATACTCGTGCACGGCTTCACATCTGACGAATCACTGGAAACCATGTGCTTCTAGCAGGAATCTGCATCCCATGCACAGCCCCGTTGCTGTAGACCCCGAGATGGGGAACTTCGCAAATTGGCGGAAGTGGGATGCCGCTAGACTACCTTCGGAATCGTGAACCTCACATCACCACTAAACCCTCTAATTCCTAAACAATCAAACCACCACTTCTCAACACACGGGTACGCAAGAATGAGGTCTTGGGTTTAGTGTTTGAAACTATCTTCAAAATGCGGTGCCTCCGCGCTGTTGTCATTGATGATCCCCAGACGGTCCTTCGGGAACATCACAGAGGGTTTACGGTTTAGGGTGGATTCAAGGCTTTCTGGGTGATTAAACAATGGTGGACCCCAGCATAGACCTTCATAAGAACGATGCTCACAGTAACAATGACATCCGATGTCCAAATAGTGCTATGTAGTCGGTTATTGAGTTACATAATGGATGTTGAGTCGCCTACTATTTGGGTACCTGGAGTGCTGGGGCCCTGGGGCTGGTTGGGATTGCCCACGTCCGTATTTGAGTGCCTCCTCCTGGAACCAAACTGCATGTATTTCTGAGCTCAAGCAAATAATTATAAATGAAATTGCACCGCCTTTATTTGACGGAGGCCCCGCCCCAGTGTCCCGTCACGGAGTGCTCAGGGCTTTGGCCGCCCCCCTTACCTACTATGTAACCAAGCATTTAACGCACCCCCATTGAAACCACGTCGGCCTCTGACTCCTCGTCGGACTCAGGCGCCGCCTTTACTTCCTTGTCCGGGTAATTGTCCAACAGCTCTTTCCTGAGGCGGTTGAAGGGTTTAGGCTTTAGGGTGTCGTGGGGTCTCTTTTTTGTCGTAATTGAGGTGTCTGCTTTTCCAGTCGTTGAAGCTTTAATGAAAATGGATTCGGACGTTTTGAATCGACGGTTTACGAACTGGTGTTGTTGGGTTTCGGGATTTCAGGGCATGATTGACGATTTAGTTAGAAGTTCTGGATTCTACAGAGTCGCATTTGAGATTTAGGACTTAGTGACTCGAAGCTGATCCCAAACCACAATGAAACCCCAAAACCAAACCACCCCAAATCCCAATTCAAACCCAAGGCAAGGGATCTCAGAGGACTTCGAAGGTTGGTGCCCTCACCAGGACAGCCCCAGACTCTCTGTAAGAGCCTAAGGAGTTGTACAGTTAAGGGCTTAGGATTAAGGGTGTTGTCTGGTTTAGGGTTTGGAGTTTAGATTCATGGTTCAGGGTTTAGTTCAGTCTAGTCAGTCTAGTTGAGCTCGATTCTGAACCCAAACACCAGACACCCAAAAGCTGGACTGTAAGCTCTGAATTCGTCATACCCAGGACCTTACACTACGGCTTGGTGCAGTTCCGTTCAGTTCCGCTCCGTTGTAGAAGTGTTTGAGTTTGAGGGGGGAGGGGGGGATATGCTTCAGACAACTGTACGTGAACTTTCCAAAGAACTTGCATTCTGATTACACTGGTTCTGCAAAGAGCTTGGAGCTTAGGGCACGAGGCTAGGTTTTAGGGTGTTGGGACGAGTATATACTATTCTTGTATTTAAGCAGCCTGTATGAGTGTCCCTCGACCACCGCCGTTCCGGTATATTCTGGTCTAAGCAGCCTGGAAGAATGGAAAATTCCTGTCCTCTTGACACCCTACATACTACACCCTGAACCCTGAAGCCAATAACCAAGAAACCCGAAACTCCAAAGCTTCTTGACCACACAGACTTCTGATCTTTCCACTGGAAGCCCCATGCTCTTGAACTCCAAATCCGACTCAAGCAGACATGCAAATTCCGACACGAGCTTTGGGGACTTCGGTTCGGAGGTCAGGGACCTACCAGTGGCTCCGGAGTAGCAGGCTCGCTTGAAGTAACATAGGGGCCTTTAAAAATTCGAGTACGGTTTTGGGGCCCCATTATACTATAATAATAATGAGGGACCTACCAGCAGCTCCGGAGTAGTCGGCTCGCTTGAAGTGTTCAGGAATTCTTACTTCAAACAAATGGTGATCGACACGGGAACGTGGCCAAGAGTTCCCCAACCCAGAAACCCTGACCCTCTCAAACACATCTCCTAAAACAACTCCAAACACCATCTTTTGCAGCCACAGGGGCAACTTGCACTCACTTGGCATGGTAGCTCCTCAGTTTGGGAGTGCGGACGCTGGGGCTTTCAAACGGCTTGGCTTAGAACGATAGGGTTTCGGGGGCAGGCAGGCAACCAAGCAAACTGCATGTGCAATCTATGAGTCCATGGTCTTCTCCATCATCCGCTCCCATTGTAGCTCTATGCCAGGGAGCCTCACTGCAACCAGGAATAGATACACCTTGTCCTGGACCAGGGAGCCCCACTGCTGCAACCTGGAATAGATACAGGATGTGCTCGACCAGGGAGCCCCACTGCTGCAACCTGGAATAGATACGCGATGTACTCGACCAGGGAGCCCCACCGCTGCAACCTGGAATAGATACAGGATGTACTCGACCAGGGAGCCCCACTGCTGCAACCTGGAATAGATACACGATGTGCTCCACCAGGGAGCCCCACCGCTGCAACCTGGAATACATCCAGGATGCACTGATACTCGACCAGGGAGCCCCACTGCTGCAACCTTCAATAGAGTTACGATGTCCTGGACCAGGGAGCACCACTGCTGCAACCTGGATTGAAAATAAATAGAAATTTTCCAATCCTAGCTTTGCGACTAGGAAAATTTACAATGGTATAGAGGTGAGTCCCAGATGCAGAGATAAGGGAGCCAGCCGCTGCAACCAGAAATTGGCTTTGTCACAAGGGGCAGTCTCGAATCTGCAACCCGGTGTGCGTTCCGCAAAGCTGCCTATCAATGACGTGTTGTGTACATGTACCACGAAGGAACATTTAGAAGCACATGCAGGCCGCAGAGATCCCCAGAGGAAGTATCGGTACTGTCGCCCCAGCAGGGGACTGGGGAGGGTGGGGGGTGCTCGTCGGGATCAAATCCCTTAGTACCGCCCCCGGGGTCCACACCCACCCGAGTAATCCCTCAGCCTGATCAACTGCTAGGCCCGGGGGGATAGGGTTCGTGGATGCGATAGTTGCACTGCATCAAGCCATTTCCGGAAGCTGCAGATGCGGGAATTTTTCGGTCTTATGGAACCCCACAACCTTTGCAACAGCAGCTCATCAAACCTTGGTCAGCAATCATTATTCACTATTACTTTTGAGACTCCAGGCCGCAGTTTCTCTCTCAAGTGTGCATGCAAGGCATCACGACTTCCTAACATACGGTTTCTAGTAATCGAAACAAAGACGAGCCCGAAGACGTGAACCCTACAAACCAAAACCCTACCTAGACCCCAACAGTATGTAGAAGAACGGCCTCTTACAGGTTTTGGGCCAGGATTTTGCCCATTCTGTGGGTGTAGGCAAGCCCGAAACCTTCCACCCTCAACCCTATACCCTAAACCCGAAGCCCGAAGACCGCAAGCTCCCCCTTCGAGGGATGTAGCCCCGGCGCCCGAGGAGGCGAAACTGCTGGCTGTCACCGCCATCTGCGGATGCGCCTTTCCGGAGCCACAAATATCGAACAGGGGTTCAGAGTTTAGAGTGTGTGTGTGTGTGTGTGTGTGTGTATATATATATATATATATATATATTTATATACATACATACATACATAGATGTTAATGGGTTTAGGGCTCGGGCATCAGCATTTAGGGTTTAGAGTTTAGAGTATGTAGATGTATCTAGGTTGAGGGCTCGGGCTTTAGCATTTAGTGTTGAGGTTTAGAGTCTATAGGTTTATTTAGGTTTTAGAGCTCGGGCTTCAGCATTTAGGGTTGAGTAGAGTATACAAATGTATCCAGGGTTTGTGGGCTTGGGCTTTAGCATTAAGGGTTGAGGGCGCGGATTCGGAGGTGTGTGTTTGGATGCTCTTGGGTCAGGGGGTTTCACACACACACATATATATATATAGATATAGATATACACACACACACACATGTATTCAGCAAAACCGTCCGAAATCCGAATCCGCGAACATTCAGAAGCAAATCGTAGTAACACCGATAAGGCCAATAACAAATACAGATGCACATTCGCTACATAAAGACCAGTCAACAAGTACCATTCATCCCACAAAAAACACACAACCACAAGGATAAGTGGTACGTGATAAAGAACAAGTAATAGTTCATGACGAAATGATGACCAACAGCCAAAAACGAACCAAAGAGAAACGACCGCACTCACATTATTACAAGCAAGAACAATAACGTTAATAATACAATAACACGAACCCAAACACTAACTACGATAACCTTTATGACAAAATACTCATGTTAATACTGGAATCTGTTTCCTGCAAACATTAATAGTTATCACAATCACAATGCTAGTACTAATGAGAGTCATATTCATGGCTTTGCTACTAACAATGCTGGATGCACCTGCATTACTGCATTGCCCCTGCCACATCCCTCCGAGAATTGGGCCTGGGCTCAAGATGCAAACAGCATCTGAAGTTTAGAGTTTACCTAGACCCCAAATGAGAACAGTTATTTTACATATTTCTCGGCATTTACCATGTAAAACCGTTCCAGAAAATGAAGTCAGAGTTTATCTTGGAGCGCAGCTTTGGCACCCTGAAGCCTGAAAAAGCCGTATACCTAAAACAACCTTGAAGCTTCTACACTGCAGGCTCGAGCACAAAGCCGTAGCCTACACTGGAAACCGTTAAGAACCCGTTCTAAACTCGGCAGCATCCGGGGTTGACAGTAAGGGGCCTCGCCCCGAGCCGGTGGCTTAAAGTTTCCTGCAGATGGAGCTTTCGAGGTTTCGGCATCTCAGCCGGTGGCTTTGGGAGTCTAGAAATAGGCAGGTCGATTCTACAAGGATCCTTCTTCGGGATAACCACCGATTCTACAACTACTACTTCGTTGCTGCTCGGAAGGACTAAACACTAAACCCTAAGACGGATATCGGTAGGCTTTCAAGCTTCCGGTCTCTGGTTCTATCATAGAACCATAGAGCTTAAGTTCAAGACTTTGGCTTTCGGCTCTGTCCCAAACCACCCGGAACCTGGCAATGAGTCCCAGAATGTAAGACCCTGAGCAGTCCGAGTCGAACTGGAGCTTGTTTTCGACCAAACTCCCCTAAAACCCTAAACTTCTAAACCCTAAACCCCTAAACCCTAAACCCTAACCCCCCTCCCTTCAGACAGTAAGCCAGACTTGTATTTACGGAGATCGGGGACCTCTATGAAATGAACCGAAAGACTTGACTTCACCCACACCGTCCACTAGACCCAGCTAGACCTGCATGAACAACTCCCCAAACTCCCCCAAAAGAAGACAAATCTGATAAGAGGAAGAAGGGAGTGGGGACCTGATCCCCAAACTCCCCGAAAGAAGACAAATCTGATAAGAGGAAGCAGGTAAAGGCCATACCCACAGAGTGGGGACCTGATCGAGCTGCCCTCCTCCCCGAATCGTCGGCTTGGCTTCAGAGTCGATGTGGTCAGGAGGTTCTTGAAGCAAGTGAACCTATTCCTGCAAGGCCAACACGCCCTTCTGTTTCATAGATATCTAGGAACCAATGGCCTGGCTAATAGATCCGGTCGCCGGCTTGCGCCTTTCTCAGGGGACTGCATTATAGTCCCTAAGCAATGTGCCGTCCTGCATGTTCGCATCACCTGAGTTGGTCTACTGCAGCACCATGGTGTTCGGCCGGATCGAAAGAATCACTCATAAATCCTAAACCCTACACCCCAATTCCTAAACCCTAATCCCTAAACCCAAGATGCAGCTCGCCGAAGTCAGCAACGTCTGGGACCCGCGGCGCTGGGTCTGCATCTTCTCACAGTTGGAACTCCTCGTCGCTCACGCTGTATCTCGGGTTAGGATGTAGGGTTTAGGGTCCCTAAACCCGAAGCCCTAACCCAAAACCCTAACCCCATAAACCTCCAAATCCTAAACCAAGATCCAAAAGTTCCTTCAGCATGAGAAGAAGCTCCTTTGAAAGCAATGGGGTCTAGGGCCTAGGGTCTGGGAATTCGCAATCGAGTTCCTCAAAGACCCTTCAGAGGAACCAGTAGAGAACTTACTTGTAGCACAACAACCCTCCCATTTTCAGGAATTTGGTAAAGAAACCATGCAAGTAAGGAACGCTTCCTGGTCTACTGGAAATGATGAGCCATAATAAGGGCCATCGAAGCTTGCCGACTCTAAAATCTGAGCTGAATGTGCCAGGCCACCGCCGTACGTCAAAGGAAAGTATTTGGCACCTGACACGGTTTAGGGTTTAGGGAAGCTCAGTAACCGAGGGAGCAGCCACGGGCCTGCATAGCTGGACAGACTGGCAAAGATGGCGCTAAAACCGGACTTGATGGTGAGCTTCACTGGGTGATAATGCAAGCTCTCCTCATGGTCTCGATGATGATGACGGCGGCCACGTCGACGACGATGATGATGACACTGACAGTGTTGATGGATGGTTTCTGGTGGTGCTGATGGTAGCGACGACGAGGAAAATCCTATCGCTGTTTGCAAACGTGATATAGGTAGTGATGACATCCTGATGTCGTTTCTTGACGGCAAGACAAATGATGACGATGGTGTTCGTGAAGAAGAACATCATGAATATACAGACATGATGACGACGACGATGATGATCTTGATTAGATGGCGAAGATGAATATCATGATTATGCTGATGGTGCAGATGACGATGATGATGATGTTGTGAAGACGACGACAACACTGATCCTGTTGATGGCGATGGCGATTGTGACGACGGCGAATGAGGTCGTTCATGTTGAGGAAATGGCCGTGGAAGAAATGGCCAGGATGATCGCGATGCTGGTGGTAGAGACCACAGCCAGGATCAAGCTGCTAACCATGATTGCATCATGCATCGCCTCTAAAGCCTCAGCTCTTCACGGTAAACTTGGCTGTGGCGCATTACTCAAACCCCTATCCCGACGAAGCTCCTAGTCCTCAATCCGAAACCAACAATCGTTGAATCATGTCTGAACCCCTGGAAAGACCTCAGCCAAAATCCACAACAACGCAAGAAAGGAGATCTTTGGCTGAGCAAACCTCAAACCTAAATCCCGAATGTGGCGTCAAGTTCCCAACCTTGCGCTGCACCCTGAATCCCAAAGAACCGAAATCGCAAGGATGACCGTGAAGCCATGACATGAATCTGTGTAAATCCTGAACTAGAAAGCCAAAACCCTACGACACTAAGACCTCAAAGCCTACTAAATCCTAAAGTCTCAATCCCGACAGCACTAAACCCTTACATAAATCCTGTTGAGGGTTCTCTACAACCCCACAAACCACATCAGAACCTCCAAGACCGCTAATATTCAAGAGCCCTTCCATGCCCAATATACATACATGGGCACTCACTACAGTGCCAATAGGATACAGCCCTTTGAGGCCTAAGCATGTACTAGATAAGTACAACTACAGGCAATTATATAACCCGTATGTAAGGAGTACAGGCGAATATGATTACATGACCGAACCCTAAACCCTAAACCCTAAACCCTAAATATATACCAGTACTAGAAGCTCTAAACCCGGAACACTGAAACTGCACGGGTAAGACTAAAACCATGTCTAATCAGGACCTATTCCAACCCTCATTTTCGTCCTAAACCCTTATGATAGCCCTTTCTGAAACCCTTGTATACTCTGTAAAGGAAACCGTTTACAGGAACCCAGTTCTAAATCTTAGCGGCCCTGCATTGGGCATGATTTGTGCCTTCCGGTCTCCACTTGCGCGCGGTGTGCACGGTCTGCCACGGCACGAGCAGCACGGTTTAGGGTTTAAGGGTTATGAATTTCCGGAATTTGGGATGGTTGGGCGGTTTAGGTGTTTCGGGTTATATGGGGGTTCAAGGTTTTGGGGTTGAGGGTTTTGGGTTCACATAACTTCGGCTTTACGGTTTATAGGCTTGCGTAAGAAACCAAGCCGGAAGCAAATAGGGTTTCGGACCTCTGAGTTAACGTCCGAAGGTTAAGCCCAGTGAAGCTTGGGTTTTTGATAGCCAGCAATTAGTCGACTCTGAACCCTATAGACCCTAGCGGCTTTTTCTCCACGTCCTCTTCAGCACTGCATTAGAATTATCATCATCACCACCAGCACCAGCATCATCATCATCCTCGTCACCACACTGAACCACAACCAGATCCCAACATGACTGCTAATTTAGCGGCGGTCGCTCTTCTGCATGTCGCTGGTCTTCGGTGCTATAATACTTTCGTCACAAGTCATGCGCTGGTCTATGAGCAGCACGATGCCGATGCTGATGATGGACTGACACGTTAGTAGCAATCGCGCACACAAGTGTGAGACAGCGCCTAATCAGAACAAATCCGATCAAACATACGGGCCTCAACACGTTGAATACGGTGTACCATGATTATCAGTTTAAACATGCTATAAGGAACCCTAAGGAAGAGTATTGCTTGTTCTCAGGTGTCTACATTATGAGAAGGAGCATGATCGAATCATGTTCAAAACCTTGAGGCCTGACCCTTTGCCCAGAACAGTGGGAGCCACGGCCAGGGTTGGTGATTTGGCAAAATCTCAACCTTTGCTGGGAGCATACTTGACGCCCGTTTAGTCCAGTTACTGTTGTTGGAAGGAGTGCGGGGGCTGCGTATACGATAGATGCAGCCGGAACGGTGAAGAAAATAATCACGTACATTTTACTGCAGGTCCCTATAGTACCTTAGAAACAACTTCGAAAGCAGACTACTTACAAAACAAACACGAAAAACCTGTAATCATGACCCTGCGAAGCCCAGTCAACTGTTGCTCCTATGGGGCTTTTGCAGATCACAAAAAAAAGAAAACCGTAGCAATTACCCTGTTCGCAGGAATCCTGCACGGAGCACCACCGAAAATGCAGGGTACCGCCTTTCTGAACATTGGCCCACTTGTGAACTGTCTTCGCACCCGGCCCAAGAGCCGCACCGCCGCGTGCGTACCCAAATACCGCTTACGCCCAAAAATACTGAAACATAGGGCGCAGCACCTCGGTGTAAGCAAAGGTTTTCCCGGAGCCGCCCGCCCCCAACCACAGACAATTGCATTGTCGGCTATATCCGCAGCCTTGTCTGAGCGTTCCCCCTACATCGTCTGCATCGCGTCGACCACGGGTGCCAGCGCTAAAATCTGCTTCTTTTACAGCCCTCATGAAACCCTGGGAAAATCGTAAAAAGCCCTGAAGACAACACACAGATAGACCTCTAGGACAGGACACCATGCAAAATCTCGAACCCAAAACCGTGAAGCCTAATTCCTAAACCTTAAATAGTAAACCCCAGCCCCTTGTCCTAAACCGTAAACCCTGAGTCCAAATTCCGAAACCCGAGCCCCTACCTAAACCCGGAAAGCTACGCAAACTAAACCCTAGACCGTGAATCCTAAACCTTGAACCCGGAACCTCCTCCGAACCAAAGAGCCGACACCTCAACCCTAACCCAGAGACTCCAATATCCCTTAATTAAGGAATATATACCTTAAGTCATAGTAGGATTATGACTTAAGGTATATATTCCTTAATTAAGGGATATTGAAGTCTCTGGGAAACCTTCAGTCCACTCCTGGGCCGCCAGGACCTCGCCCGCGCGATCGCGCGGCTTCGTTCGAAGGAGAGTACGGACTTCATCGTCTGAGGAGGCGTCCGAAATCTCAAGGTTCAGGGTGCCTTTTCTAAGGGCTCCTCTCGAGGCTTCTTTTCAGGGTTCCTTTTAAGGGATCCATAAGGGATCCATCGTGGGATTTCCTTGAAAGTTCTTCTAAGTGATCTGTAAGGATTCCTTGAGGAATCCATTGATACTAAAGAAGAAGTATGCATAACAAACAGTCAACACACACGGACACACACACACACACACATACATATGTACAGGTATATATTTATGCACACATATTCTACACATTATGCACACACATGCATATGCACATGCACAGCACACATACAAGCACGTGTGCACATGCACATGCATGCACACATACACGTGCATGTACACATACACATGGACATACACACATACGTATGTACATGCGTAGATAACTGGAAAGGTACATGCTCACATGCAGACATAGGTCTGTGCTTGCATACATGCTGGTAGAACGGCGAAGGCTGCATGATACTCTCAGGTCGTTGTCGGGTCGGCGGCAGGCATGTCCATGGCTTCTTGATTTTCATGCATGAAATTCCAACATCCCATTTGTAAGACGACATGTTCGCTTCAATGCAGGTGGAAGCAACACACAAAGTTCAATCCGCGTTAGCTATGGATCCTGTGCAAAACCCGGTAACCAGAGGTGCGGGCCATCGTCGACAGATGTGGAGGTTGAGCTTCGTGGGAAAGTACGCGGGACGACGGCGGGAGTGGATCTGTTGTCGTGATTTATTGGTGCCATTATTCGTAACCCTGAGCCAGAAACACCAAGAACAACACTTGTAGCAGGATGTATGCTACACTTGATGATATGCGGCCTTCCCAGCTCCAGACGAGCAGCAGCAAGAGCAGCATGTGTAAAGTTACTCGATGTAGTGCTGGAAATCCAAATGGCCATTCGCAGTTTATAACACTACCACTGTAAAAGAAAACACCAAAACAATTCTGCTCTCAACTAAATCGTAAGCCCATCGGCCTTTCGCTGCCTTCGCAGCAGCGACTTTCGACCATATGCCTGACGAGCATAAAACATCTGGCGGTATGGGGGGTCTCGCGCAACTGTGTAGCTCTTTACGACTTTTTTTTCGCTCTACCGTCGAAACAAAGTCCGAGGAGGGTCAGCTGGTGTGCACCGGGGTGTACGAAAGAAGGACGATAGCCTTTGTAGAAGCCCTGCATACTATCCTACTCCCTTCCAACTTCAACAAGCACAAATCCATGACACTGCTCAGCTCTGCAACTAGTTAGTTCTTGTGGATGAAGGTTTAGTGTCAGATCTAAGCAAGGTTAGTGACGGTTACTGGGCAGCACCTACTCAAAACCGGATGGTCCGGGTTTGTGACCGCTTGGAAATCAGAAGCTACCACAAGAACTCTCGCGTTCTTGTTCCCGTAGTGTAATCCTCTGCTCAATGGTAGTAAATCCCGCTGTAAACAAAAAATCCCAAACAGCCTTCGCAGCGCAGGGCTCGAGTATCCTTGGGGGTTCGGGAGCTTTGCAGGCCTTTCACAGCTTACCGCATTTAGGCTTCTGTCCGAAGTTTACGAAATCCCACCTTGGCCCCCCGAACTAAGCAATCCCAAACCCTCAAACCTATGAACCCTATAGATAGGTGTCAAAGAAAACTACCAAAGATATTTTTGGGGGCATATCGTATTCCATGTGTATAGGGAATAGAAAACTAATTACCAGTCAATATTCCAAATTTCAAGGCCAACAGGGTATGCCTTTTGCGTCTTGCTGGGCGCGGCCACGGCCGTCGTTGCCTGGCGCTCTCCTGGCAGTGTCTTCATGAATATTCTGTGTGTCGGGGTTTGTGCCGTGTGCCAAATGTTCGCGATTCGGAACGGCATTTTCACAAATCCTGGAGTGTCGACGTCGTTTGCCGACATAGAGGTGCTTACGGAGGACTGAACGGGTGAAGGTTTAGAGCACCAGTCAGGGGCTGAGGGCGCATGCCAGCATCCAACGTCTTGTAATGGAAGTGTCATGACATGTCGCTGTAGTGCAGGTACTGCCGTCCCAAGGAGACAAATGAATGCTTTGCCGCGAAGTGTTCAAATTAGTGACTGGTTTGCATGGTAGTTGACGAAACATGCGAAACAAGGGGATATGCATGGGAAGCTACGGCCATTACGGTTGAGGTAAAGTTCTGTTCACTTGCTTCTCTCGCTCTGTCTCCTCCTCTCTCTGTCTATCTCTCTCTCTCTCTCTCTCTTTCTGTCTCTCTCTCTCTCTCTTTCTCTCCCTCTCTCTCCCTCTTCCTCTCGCTCTGCCTGCCTCGCTCCATCTCTCTGTCTCTCTCTCTCTCTCTGTCTCTCTCTCTCTCTCTCTTTCCCTTTCTCTCGATGACTCTCTCTCATTCACTGCCACCTTTTTTAGTGCCCTCTGTGGCCTGCGGTGTGGTGCGGGCCCGGCCCTCCTGTGTTCTCCGCCACGCCCCATGTGGTGTGGTGTGTTGGGTTTGGTTGTTTAACGTGGTGTGGTGGTGGGTTTCGGGTTATTTGACCCCCTTTGCCCCCCATGTGGTGTGGTGTGCTGTGGTGGCGGGTTGGTGTGGCGGTGGTTTTGAGTTGTTTCGTCCCCCGTGGTGTAGTAGCCCCCATCTCCCCCCTTGTGGTGTGGTGTGGTGTGCTGTGGTGGTGGGTTGTGGGTTTCAGGTTGAATGATGAACCCTCTTCCCCCCTCCCCGTGGTGCGGTGGTGTGTGTTGGGTTTAGAGCTTGCACCCGCGCCTCCCTGTGGTGCGGGTGGTGGGTTTTGGGCTATTTGACCCCCCCTCCCCTTTTGGTGTTGTGGTGTGCCGTGGTGGTGGGTTGTGGGTTTCAAGCCCAGTGTTTAACCCCCTTCCTCCCACCCCGTGGTGGGTGCTGGGTTGAGGGTTTTGAATTTTCACCCGCACCCACTCCTGTGGGTTGTGGGGCTGTTTAGGGTTTATAGGTGTATAGATATGAAAAGGGTTTCGGGTTGAGGGGTTCGGGGGGCCCATCGCTGTGACTGTTGGCACTTTTGAGACAGTGACGACCCTCACGAGGATTTCGGGTGTATACCATGCGGGGACCGCACCGTGGGGGGGGCTACTAATACGCGACACGGCACCATATATATATATATATATATATATATATATACATTTATACATATACATATACATATACATATATAAATATATCTATATATCTGTGGGTAAACATATATTACCCCATGTTGAGAGCATCCTCGCCGGACGTTAAATTTGGTTAAGCATCCAACACCATAGGGGAACATTTAAACACTACAACCCAATAGCCGAAAAAACTACTAGGTACATAAAACATGTATAAGAGCAAACATATTCGCCCGTCACCGGCTTCCTGCAAACATGCAAAAAACCTGAAACATCTGACAGCCTTGCCACCACTGGCTGGACGCTCGGCGCCATTCTCCACACACCTGTGGGATCACCTGCAAACAGCCAGCGAATCGAAGATCCGACAGTTTCATCCTCGCTTGCCTCAAATCTCAAATCAACGAGGAAATCGATGGGACAGACGCCTCGGTAAAACCCCAATCGGGGTCAAGCGAGCCATGCTTTGAACCCTGGTTTCCAGTTTCGGTTTGTCGGCACTCCACCCTGAACCCTCAGACCCCCATACCCTAAAACATTGGGACCTTAAACCCTACGTCCAAAAAGTCCTGACTTAAGCAGTAGTTCGAAGCTTGGTCGCTCCCGAGCTTGGTCGCTCCAACTTATGATGAAGACCGTATGTCTATATTCAGCCAACAAGCCGGCTCTGTTTCCTGTAGTGGTTTTTTCGAAGTCTTCTCTGTACACTCGGGTTTTGCCATAAAGTGCGGATCAGCCTAGACTTCACGTTGCTGTTCGCTCAACCAAGTCCTTTGCCACGTCAGTCATGCTGTGTTGCATTTTGCACTCCGAAATTGGCATTCCGCTACTGCCTCAAACCCAAGGCCTACGAAACCCTGCGAACGCTAAACGTGCCTGATCATCAAGGACAATGCAAGCAATGCCCCAGCACCACTCAATGGCCCCTGGGCACCGTCCGACCTGCAACCATGGGTCCCTAAGACTTTCCGGTGGTCAGGCTTCGGCAGCATTGTTTTATTGATGGTGTGTTATGGTGTGCATGGGATGCGCGCATGGAGCCGGATTCATCAGTTTTATAACAAGTCAGCCAACCGAAACTTCAATAAAAGCCCATACAAGCTCCCTCAAGCTCCTTCGTTTATGTCGGAGCCTGATGCTGGAAAACACAACGTCAACCATAAAGGCGCTTTGATGTCAGGGGTAGGGGCAGGATCTCTGTGCCCACCATCACGCAACACAAGCCTCCACGCAGCACAAGCCTCATTCACAAAACATGCACCATGTGGATCGCAGGTTGGATCGGTATCTGTTGCATCCTCAGCACGAACCCCCCACAAACACTCTGCCCACTGATGTTAATCTGTCAGTTACTTAAAACATTCAGCGGTGCATCGTTTAGGATCGAGTATTGCAGCCAAAGGTTCTTCTGGGTCAGACATCCAGTAATCTGCTACTTATGCTTTTACAGTAAGCTCTACAGTATGGCTCCTATTTTATGAACTTCCATATGGTGTCGCAGATATCGGGCAGCACATACTTCGCAGGGAGGACAAATGTGACGTTTGTGGTTTTTTGTCATCAGTCTCATTTGGTGGTTTGGGGGGGCTTCGTGGGAATAATACGGGCCTGAAGAATTAATTATTGCAGCCCCCCAGAGTCAGTTTTTAATTAAACAATACTGTACCCCCCAAGCCCTATATACTAAAATCTCATTAATGCCAATAGAATGTGCACTGCCCCCCATCGCAAGTTCGAACCAATTCCGAACCCGCCACCCTTTAGATATAGGGCTCAGGGCTTTTCAGGTTTAGGGCTCAGCGTATACGCTTTTGCGTGTCTAAGGAGGGTTTAACCAACCCTTGTAGTTTGTGTAAAAGTGTGCTTAAATACAGTGTATCAACCTTACACACACCTGCGAAAAAGGCAACCTGCCTTGATTGATACATGATATGTAGCTATCAGACCGAAGAAGCGCTGGGGTGCTGTCCTAGAAAAACTGCAGCTGTGATGATGGCTTTAAGGCTCTAGTATTATGGTGGATTAGGTACGGCTTGGGCGGTGTTGGGTTTCAGGGCTTCGTGTTGACCAACTTATTCGGGGTGTATAACACATGCCGAACCCACAAAGTACGACAACATAGAAGGCCATGCCTATAAACCGATTGGGTTTAGGCTGAGGGTTTAGGGTTCCGGGCTTTAAGTTGCCAAACTGAAACTCTATAGGTGCTAAGTCACCACGCATCCCTTCACGTAGACACTCAAACTGCCCTCCCCTGAAGACTACGCCCTCATGCGCTCAACGCAGGACTGGACAGCCAGAATAATCAGACTTGAAAAGGGTTTGTGGGGGCTTGGGAGTAAGAGTTGTGGAGGTGGGCCCGAAGGGGCGACAATCTTGATTCTTCCTGCCCCTATACTACAATTCCTAGTAACACGGGCACCTGGTAGCGCCCTGGGTTTAAGCCTCGCCCACCGTTTCAAATTGCACAACATGGTAAGCAAGGAACCTGACCCCCAAACACTCAAAACTCTGCTCCTAAACCCTGAACCCTAAAAAACCCTGTAAACATGACCTACAGACCCTAGACGTCGGATTCAGCCCCAACTAAACCCTACATGCAAAGTCCTAACCTGCACCCACAAGGCCCGAGGCCGAAAGGCCCGCTAAGAACCCCTAAGCCTAGGACTCTAATATAGGGGCCTTAATAATTAGGGACCCCAAAAAACACTTATAATAAGGAACCCCCAAAATAGTATATTCCTGGTATTCCTGTGCGGACTCCAGTGCCCTATTCGGGCGCGTCCCAAAATTCAGAGCATTAAACACATGTGAGATCAGTAATTGCGCTCGCAAACACGAAACGTGAAAGCACCAGGGAGCGAAGCGGGTGGATCCGGATGGTAATCGGGATCCCAGCATTTGCAAAGAGCTGCTTCCGAAACGGCTTAAGCACCGAAAGGGCCTGGGAATAGCGAAGCGACTTCCGAGGCAGAGGCACAGTTGGCAGATGACGATAGACGTCGACTGTGGGCAGAAAGTGCTGTCTGCCGGCAACGGCATCGGTGATCAAGTACCCAGGCAAACCCTGAGGGTTGAGCGTAGGATGGTGGTCGACAGGACGGGCTGGGAAGCAGCACCGCAGACTTATCCGCAGCAAAGGTCAACTCGGCTCCAATCGTGGTGGCGAGCTCCAGGTGCAGTGTGGCGGCAGCACACACCATGCGATGCAGAGAGGGCTCGTCTTCTGCTCTCTGCAAATGAGCATAGTCATCAGCCCAAGAAACGTGGTTAACCCCACACTCAGCTGGAGGCTCATACCAGTCGGCCGTTCGTCACCGGGTGGCAGGCAGCTGGTACGGCCACGCTTCGCCAAGACTTGTCAAGTCTAAACCACGTGCCGCGGAATAAATCCGCCACGATGACAGTGGCGTGGGCACCAACCCCCGCCGCAGGAAGCAGCGCAATTAAGGTTGGTGAGATGCCGATGCAGCTCTTGCGTGGCCGCAGCAGGCAGGCCAAGCTTGCGTATCAGCAAGGGGCAATCACTCGACAGAGAGGGAACCATCAGTGCCACCGTGTCCACGCCGACACCGCGTGAGGTAACTTCCGCCGTTATGTCATCAGCTCCAGCTGCTTTGTCGAAGTGGAGAGCGGCAATTTGACGTTCAACGTCTCCAAGAGTAGGAAGACTTTGGACATCAAACACCGGGCCGTGCGGCAAAACCGGAATGTCGGGACTGGCAAATCCAATGGAATACTCCGCATCCGAAACAGCGCGGCCGGCTTCTTGCTGCGCAAAATGCTGTCGCCACCTCTCATGCCTGTCGGCAGGTGTCTGAGCGAAAGTGCCATCAGCAAGTAGAACCGCAGGCAATGGTACAAAGCCAGATTAACGCGCCGATCGCGCTTGCGGGAAAGCACGCCGCACTGCCGAGAAGAGTCTGCGGGGATCTCTCAGGTTCTGAAGCTGCACATCCTGTACAATGCGAGTGCAGGTACACCGTGCGATCCAGTTTGAGTGCCCGGCGCAAGTCCACGACAAGGTGGTTGAGACGGGCAGCGGCAGCAGCTATGCTATGGTCGAGTTGTCGCAACCAAACCCGAGCAGTCTCGGCTGCATGTGCTGTCAATGGGCAACCCCGCACATCGGCAACCAAGGCCGCAAACCCAATTAGGAGACGCCTTCTGCGCTGTTCCTTGTTTTCGCAGCGGAGATAGCCTCGAAGCTGAGCCCTTTCGCGAATGGTATCAGGGCTCAGGTGGGCCTGTGAGGCCTGAGCAGTGGTCTCCGGTATAAGGTCTGCACAGGACTTGGTGAGCTCCGGCACCAGCTCAGCAAATGGGCATCTGGATCATGGGACCACACGGGATGCTTTCCGTCCGGCGGAGGCCTCGAATGAAGTGGCCGGTCTGCTCGACCCCGAAAGCGGCAGGGCCCATCCATATCCAGGAGGTACCCGTGTGGAAGCATGCAAATGTAGACGGGACACAGCAACCGACCTGTAGCATGCAGGAAATCGTGAAAGATGGCACCGACCACACCTTCCGGTGCGGCATCATGACCGTCTACCGCTTCCGTACACACACACACACACTTCCCAGCTGGCTGTTGGCATCAACTAGCAGGAGGATGGAAGAGCCTTCAGGCCTGCGCTGTATGTAGTTCGGCGTGTCTAGCCGCCCAGAATGCCTGGGCCGGCCCACTATCACAACGGATCACATGTGGGCCATGTGCCACGAGGATAGTAAGCTGGCACCAGGCCGTGCAGATCTGAACCTGTAGGTGTCGAGGGAAGTATCCGGTGACAACAATGTCATCTCGGCCACAACAAAGCGCTGACGACCATTGGTGTGTGCAATCGGAAGGCCTAGATTGAGCCAGAGGGAACAGCCGTAACTCCCATGCTCGTCTGCAGCAGCATTGAGCATCAGGAGATCAGCATCAGGCAAGGTGGCATTGGTAGGCAACCTAGTCTCTTGAAGACCAAGTGCCCATGCTTGACATTCCAGCATTTGACGCTTGAGCAGGGCTCGTTTGCCGGCTATCTGCACCCCAAAGGATCCAGCCCTGGTCTTGCGACCATGCGCGACAAATGGATCAAAGAGTGTTAACACATTGTAAGAAACCACTGTGAACTCAAAAATGAGCTCCGTCTGCGGCTGGTGGATTTGTCGGACACCCATTGAGGGAGCAGGCGCGATGTACTCACTGTCCAGTTGCAATCTGTGGACCTCGGTCTCAAGAGCCGACAGCACTGGCAGCTGAGGGCTTGAGAGGTGTGCAAGCCACGCCCATTGGAGGAGAGGATGCTTCAAGAGCCGGGCCGGCCAAT